TCCCCACAAAACTTATTCTTGAGTCTTGACCGACAGAAATGGGTCACATATCCATCCCAACACCAATGAGCAGCAAGTGGAATAGTGCTGCCACATGAGACATGGGCTAACTGTGGCTCACTCCCTGAGCTGGGGAGGGATCAGCTTCCCCAAGAGCCACCTACACAAAAGTAGGGAAGCCAAGAGGGAAAGATGGTGTGTGGATAGCCACAATGTCTGCCATACAGCAGATGTGATGAGAGACAAAGGTCATGAGAACTCTTGATTACCTGTGACCCAATGGGGACTTTATTCTGAAAGGGAAGAAAGTCTGGTAGTTTCCTCAAGAGTCTATTCAGGTTATGCAAGTTGGGTAGCAAGTTAATGTAAGCAATGTTTGTATCACCCACTGTACCACACCAGAGGACACTGGTGTCAATATGTACTCTCTTAAGCCAGGTGTAATGGCACACACCTGTAATCCCAGAAGCCCAGGAGGCTGAGGCAGGAGGATCACAAGTGCAAAGCCAACCTCAGCAACTTATTAAGGCCCTAAGCAACTTAGTGAGACCCTGTCTCTAAATAAAATATAAAAAGGGCTGGGAATACGACTCAGTGGTTAAGCACCTCTGGGTTTAATTCCTGGTACAAAAAAAAAGTGCTTTCTTTGTGGTATTAACTGATCAGTTACTTAAGGAACACACCTCACTTGAAGAACATTCTATAAAACAAATGACGTGAGATCTTTAAGACTGCCAATGCCAAGAAAAGAAACAAAAAGGCTAAGGAAATATTTCAGATCAGAGTTAGACATAACAACTAAATGCAACAAAGGATCTTGGATTTGCTCTAGGACTGAGAAAAAAACTGCTAGAAAGGAGATTATTGGAACAATGAGTGAAATTTGAATATAAACTTATAACCAACTTATAATTACATTTTATATAGTTGAGTTTTAACATATCAATTGTTATTCTTTTTTTTGAGAGAGAGAGAGAGAATTTTTTAATATTTATTTTTTAGTTTTCGGTGAACATAACAACTTTATTTTACTTTTATGTGGTACTAAGGATCCAACCCAGCGCCCCACGCATGCCAGGTGAGCACGCTACCACCTGAGCCACATCCCCAGCCCCTCAATTATTATTCTTATAGTAAATGATATCAAATGATTGTTAAATGATTTGCATTTAATCATTGCATTATGGTTGTGTGAGAAAAGGTCCTTGTTCTTCAGAGATACATTCTAAAGTACTGAGGAGTGAGGAATCATGCTGGAGCTGGGACATTTTTGTTAGAGGATCCACCTCTCACCAGGATGATAGTTGTAATGGGAAGTGAACAAGTCTCCAATTTCATAGGGAGAGTTTCTAGAAACATGAAGGTATGGAGCAGATTTCCACACGTGAAAGAGACCTGACCACAGGTGTTAACAGAGAAAGCATGGCCACTTGAACTTTAGTAGTATTGTGGAAAAACTACCTGACTCAGACTCACAACAGTGAATGCACCTCTAAGGAAATTATTTGAGCAGAGATCTGAAGGATAGCAGAGATAAAACTGAGGTGGTGAGCCTGACCACTTTAAGCAGAACAACACATGCTAACATCAGGAGGTACATTTAAGAAACTATAATATCTCCAGTGTGGTTAACAGTAAGCTAGGGGTTAGTGAGATGAGCCTGGAAAGGTAGGCAGGAGCCTGATAATGAAGGAACTTGTAGGCCATGTAAAGGATTTTTGTTTTCACCTAAAAATGATGGAAACTTACTGTCAACTCAAAGTGTTTTAAGATGTAAACTGGCAGGATCAGATTTAACATCAGAAAGATCAGTGTGGTTACATATACACTTTAGTGAACATCAGATCATCAGCTACTTACCAAGACCCTGTCTCAAAATAAAAACTGAAAAAATAAAAAGGACTAGGGATGTGATTCAGTAGTAAAGCACCCCTGGGTTCAATCCCTAATACAAAATAAATAAATAAACAAACAACTAAATAAATAAATAAACTTTACTCTGTGTGTGTGTGTGTGTGTGTGTATGTACATACACATACATAATATACATATATATTAGTCTTTTTTAAAAAATCAAATTTCAGGGTCTGGAGTTGTAGCTCAGTGGTAGAGCGCTTGCATGTGTGAGGCACTGGGTTTAATTCTCAGCACCACATATAAATAAATAAATAATAAAGGTCCATTGACAACTAAAAAAGAAAAATCAAATTTCAGTTGGGCACAGAGGTACACTCTTGTAATCCTAGCTGTTGGGTGTGTGGGAGACTTGCCTTTTGGTTTTATTTCCCCCATCGAAACTTAACTCCCCACTGAAATTAAGTTTCCATCTCTGGAGAAGAACATCATGTAATCCATTACCCCTCCCCCTCCTCTCCAAAGGGCGCCAAGCCGAAGGGCACCAAGCCAAAGGACACCAAAGTCAAAAGTTTTCTCGACCAATCCTCTCAGGACACAGTGTCCACTAGCCTGTTCCTGAGTCACCCTGCCAATCAGCACCCGCCACATCGCCAAAGCAACCATTCTTAAGCTGAAGCTTGCAGTCTCAAGCAAGCTTCTTCTCCTCTCCTTTCTTCCCCTTCAGGCAGCCCCCCAATAAAATCTCTTGGATGAATTTCTGTCTTGGGGGAGTCACTCGCCTTTCACCAGCTACTTGGGAGGTTGAGGTAGGAGGATCACAAGTTCAAGGCCAATCTGAGCAACTTAGCTACCTTGCTATTTAAAAAGGCCTGGGGATGATGGCTCAGTGGCAGAGTGCTCCTGGGTTCAATTCCTAGCACTGGAGGGAAAAAAATCAAATGCATTAGTGGATTTTGTAGGTAAACAGCCATATCTAAAATCCAAGGCATGTGAATTGAAAAATTACAGCATAGTCAATGAATGTATTTGGAGAATAATACCTCAAATACTGCTAAAGTTTAACAGAATTAACAAACTAAAGCCAAGTTAAAGAACACTGCTCTGATGATATATTTCATAATTTTTGAAGCAGAATATGCCTTTTAATGATACCAAAGCAAATTCACTATACTTAAACAAAATATATCATCATGGACATATTTGGTTTAAAAAATGTATTACAACAGTGATCATTTAAGCAAATTGACTCACATGATATCTGGCAGTAGTAATCAATCTGTCCAGACACTAGAATTATTTGGACAGCTTGTGAAATATACTAATGCCCAGGTTCCATCTAACATTTTAGTGCAATGGAGTTTTAGGATAGGGCCTAGTCACTGTTATTTTTTAAAATACATTCAAGAGGATCCTAATAAACAGTCATACTTGACCCTTCTTTTAATAAAGCTTGTAGAACTCAGATGCCACGTTTCTTCATCAACACAAACTGGGTTAATCACTCAACTGAAACATACATTTAATTTTTTTTATTTTAAAAATAACTAGGGTAGCTGGGCACAGTGGCACATGCTTGTAATCCCAGCACTTGGGAGGCTGAGGCAAGAGGATTACAAGTTCAAAGCCAGCCTTAGCAATTCAGTGAGACCTTAAGCAATTTAGCACGACCCTGTCTCAAAAAAAAAGCGGGGGCTGGGAATGTGTTTCTTAGAGGTTAAGAGCTCCTGAATTCAATCCCTGGTACCACCCCATAAAAAAACAAACAAACAAACAAACAAACAAACAAAAAACTGGGGAGTGGGTAAAGCAACATGGCCAAAATGATAGTTTGATACTGTTTGGTGGTTTGTTTTGTTTTGGTACCAGGTATTGAACCCAGGTACTGAGCCACATCCCTAGCCCTTTTTATTCTTTATTTTGAGACAAGGTCTCACTAAATTACTTAGGGCCTAGCTAAGTTGCTGAGGCTGATGTCTAATTTGCAATCCTCCTGCTGATTTAGCTTCTTGAATCACTGGGATTACGGGCATGCACTACCACGCCCAGTTTGATGCTGGTTTTTAAATCTTGTTTTTTATTTTGATATCTCATTATTGAACATTGGCTGAATTTTCTTGGTTATAAGCTGAGGAAGAGTTTAACTTTATTTCTTGAGTATAAAATATTCTTTCCATCCTTAAAACTTACCTGCATTAGTGTGGGAAAAAAAACGGGAAAATTGTTTACTATTCACTCTGCTAAGAAACAACAGTGAAAAACAAAAGCTAATTTTCCAAGTTACCAGTACCCACATTTTCTGTTATCTTATGGGGAAAACTCCAATAGGAAGCTCATAATTTGGAGGTAGGGAAAGTGCTTTCTATCTAAGAATAAACCTTTTGTTATGTCGAGATAAATGAAATTGGGGGAAGGACAGAGGGAGAAGCATATTAGAAGTAAGAATAATAAGTCAGTGGAAAGGGGCTGGGGATGTGGCTCAAGCGGTAGCGCGCTCAAAGATGTTGTGTCCGCCGATAACTAAAAAATAAATATTAAAATTTTCTCTCTCTCTCTCTCTCTCTTTAAAAAAAAATAAGTCAGTGGAAAGTTGCAAAATTTAAGAATATTAGTTTTGGAGACTTTTATGCTGAATTAATTCTGATGAGCTGATTTGGTACTTATATATATATAAGGTTTGCATTCAATATCTTTTTGTGAATAAATGCTAAGCATTGGAAGTTATTTTATTTGAATACTATGATAATATACTCTAAAATTGCTAGATGTTTCTCACTAATTCCCTTAAAACCAAAAGCAGTTCTAAGACAGGAAAATGAAAATCTGGCTATTCAACCTTGTTCAAATAGTCTGAATGTTAAAACCCATTTTGTCTCATTGTTTGATATACAGAGCATGTATAAAAACCTATAAAATTTTATGGGACACATATAAAATTGCTCAACTAAAATTTTATAGGTGTCCTATATATAGGATGATGGAACACAGGTTAAGCAGACTAGCTATATTAATGAAGAATGGTCTGATTTATAAAATTGCATGTTTCCTCTTTATAGTAGTCAAAGAAAATTAATTTAGAAGCTAGAGAGTAAAATAAAATATTAGTAAATATTCATAAAATTAAAAATTGAGTTTTATAAACTTACTGTGCTATTTGGAAGTGGGATATCTCAAGCCTTTGATCAGCACATTTGATAATTTCTTCATATGAAGTAACCTTGAAAAAATAAGGTAAGCAGTTATTCTTCGATAAATTCTGGTTTATTTAGTACCAGGGATTGAACAACTGAGATAGATGTCCACTCCTTTTATTTTTTTTAACAATTTTTTAAAAAACTTTATTAGTTTTTGGTGGATCTTTATTTATATGCGGTGCTGATAATCGAACCCAGTGTCTCACACGTGCTAGGCAAGCACTCTGCCACTGAGCCACAACTCTAGCCCTAGTTCTTTTATTTTTATAATTTTTTTTTTAATTTTGAGACAGGATCTCACTAAAAGTTGCTGACAATCTTGTTAGGTTGCCCAGGCTAGCCTCAAAAGTTGCCCCACCTTAGCCTCCCAAGTCACTGGGATTACAGGTATGCACCACTATGCCTAGTTTTAATTTTATTTACTCATTTTAAAATTTCTACCAGTTGAAGTTCAATTGTTGGATGAAAATTTTACAATAGACAAAACATCTCATATTTTGAGATCTATGAATAACAATGGAATTATAACACGCCTATTCATCATGCCAGAAAAGAGAAGTACCAAAATGTGGACAACTATAGTGAGCTGACTACGACCCACTTGTCTTCCACACAAGTTTCATACATGCCAGAATCACAGTCTATGTGGTTAAAGTTAATGCAGTTTTTAAAAAGTAAACTAGAACACTAAGTTGGCAAGATTCATAATTACTCTGAAAACAAAGTAGCAATACAAAAACTTTAACTTGCCAACAGCAGGATATACACATGCTAGATTCCTGCTGAAAGGCTAATGGCAGCATTTTATAATGCCATTATGAAGTAAACGGGATGAATATTATTGGGTTACCTCAAATATCAGGTCCTTTTTAGTTCCAAAATTCTATTATTTGAATATCTGTCATAATTGTTTGTTTATTTGTTTATTGTGGTCCTGGGGATCAAATTCAGGGCCTCATATAATTTTTTTTTAATAATAAAATTTTTATTTAAATGGAGTCAGGTTTGACAAACGCTGTTTTTTAAAAATTTTTATTATTGGTTGTTCAAAACGTTATATAGTTCTTTTTTTTTTAAAGAGAGAGAGAGAGAGAGAGAGAGAGAATTTTTTAATATTTATTTTCTAGTTTTCGGCGGACACAACATCTTTGTTTGTATGTGGTGCTGAGGATCGAACCCGGGCCGCACGCATGCCAGGCGAGCGCACTACCACTTGAGCCACATCTCCAGCCCCCATTACATAGTTCTTGACATATCATATTTCATACATTTGATTCAAGTGAGTTATGAACTCCCGCCTCATATAATTTTTAAAGGCAAATATTTCTGTAAGAAAATCTGTACCTTATTTATTAAGTTGCCTAAATATTTTTGATAATTATCATTCTCTTCAATGAGTCGGTTGCAGTGAACTTCTTTTGACTCCAGAAGACCTCCCAATTTTGTGATCTAAGAAAAAACATCAGTAAAAATACTAACTTGGAAACTACCATGAACGCTACATATGGGCGTAAGAACTAATGGGGACAGTGAGCTTTACTTTATTCCAATATTTTCTTAACTCAATAAATCCCATGGTCCTAGATGGGACATCTATAAAAACCTAAATTGTGCAACTAATGTACTACTTACCATAACTTTTAAAATAAATATTTTTAGAGTTTTATTTTTTGAGCAAAATAGCAGGGAAGTCATTAGAATGTTTAAAATATGTATATAAAGGATATATAAAGTCTAGATTACTATTTCTAACCTATTTTATGGCACCTGTGTCAATTTTGTTGAAATATTTGCAGAATTGAAAACTTGAGACTTAATGGGTTAAACCGAGTTATACCATGAAGTGAATCATGAATCAGATCCTGACTAGATTACACATAGAACAGATAAGCAGGAATTATAATGGGGTTTTATTTTTTCACTGATCTTACACCATGAAACAGCTTTGCAAGTAAAAACACCTTAGTACATACAAATATTTGTCAGCCCTAAGTCTTCCCTTCCTTTTCCATGTATAATCAATACACTGACATATTTGATTTCTGTATGAAGTAAGTTGTCCTTGATGATTCCATGTTCAGAAATATTCTCCCTTGTATAAATAACTGCAATTTTTAAAAAAGGTTTAGTTTAGCTAGGCACAGTGGTGCACACCTATAGTCCCAGCTACTTGGGAGGCAGAGGCAGGAGGATAGCAAGTTTGACGCCAGCCTGGACAACCTAGCAAGACCCTGTCTCAAAGTAAAATAGAAAAGACTGGGTTCAATCCCCATACTGAAAGAAAAAAAAAAGTTAATATATTTCATGTTCTGGCCTATGATTCTTTTTTTCTTTTCCCTAGCACTGAGGAGTGAATAAGAGCTTTGCACATGCAAGGCAAGTGCTCTACCACTCAGCTACACCTCCAGTGCCCAGTGCTTTCTGCAGTCCTCCTACCTCAGCCTCCAGAGTTGCTGGGATTACAGTTTTGTACCACCGTACCTGGTCCCAATAACACCTTAATCATCTAATACCCAGACTGAGTTCAATTTTATTTTCTGCTATTATCTTACAAATATCTTTATAGCTACTTTGTTGGGTTTCACACATTGCATTTGGGTGGATTTGTCCTTCAACTCTCTAGTCTCTTTTAGTTGGTAACTGTTATTCCCTTCCTCTTTTCTCATGCTAATTTTTATTTATTAAAATCCCTCACATTCTAGATTTGTCATCACAGTGTCATCTAATACCCAGTATAGTTCTAGATACCAAGGTCATATTTTCATTTTCTCCTAACATATTTCCCTGTTTTTTTTCCTTTTATTTTTTTCATGCAACCTGAAGTAAACTATGAAAATTGTTTCCTAATTATGATTAGTGTACACAGCTATTATGGTAGCATATATACCAACATAAATATGCCTCATCCATATATTTTTTGTTTTTTGCGTTTTATGTAAATCTGATAAGTCTAAACAGAAACCAAGTTGGACATTTAAAACTAGAACATAAAAATACATTAATTCTATGGGTGAATAATACTGTCACAGTGCCAGTACATGACCATTTTAACAAGCAAATTTTTGAAGGTTGATAATTTTTTAAACTTAGGAATAAAGCAGTGTTGGATATAAAAATGATAGCAAAGCAACAAAAGGTCTTTCTTACCAAGAAGTCAAGCTCCTCATTTAGACTGTGGTACTTATCCAGTTTGACTCCCAATAAGAGAGGTACATCTTGGATATTCTTGGCTTCATCAGAATCAAAATCTGTGACCTGGGATTTAATGAATTTGTGTTCATTTTCAAAACTTACACAATCCTTGGAACATTTAACAATATGTGCTTTAGTAATTTAAAATTCAAAAAAATGATTGATGAATGGCTGGAATCATAGAGCACAGAACTTAAAGCAAGAAGATTTCAATTCAACAAATTTACCAAGAGAACACAAATATCTGAAATTATACTTTTGTATGTTAAAGTAAATGCATAGTAAGTGTTAAACTCACCTCAATAAGGTGATCTTGAAATGCTTTTTCATTAGCAATTAACTCTCTAAAGGTTGTAATTCTGTCTTTATGTTTCAGTAGCTAAGAAAAAAAAAGCATTTTATATTTCAGAGGAGAGAAAACAAAACTGCATTCTATAGTATTTGTGATAAAATCATCAAACCTTGCACAGTTTAACTTTTGTTCTCGAAAAAATAAGCAGTTTTTACAGCTCTTCAGAGGAAAAGAGTTCACACTTAGGCCTAAAAACTGCTAGGCTTATGTAGGCCTGTCAGCACGGCATCTGGGATCTTGGAGTGTGGGAGATTCCACCATTTCCTGATGTGAATGGCTCACTGTGTCTAACCTATTTGTCCAAAGCATGTGGTTTAAACTGAATACTTGCTTTCTTGCTGGGAGCTGAAACTTTGGTATGTGCTAGGCAGAGGGTGCCCATGTGAACAGCTCCTACAAGAAAAAGAAAATAAACAACAACAATCCCAGGCCTGGCTCTTTATAATGAGCTTCTTTGGTAGATAACACTTTACATCTGTAGTCACAACTCATTGTTGGGACTTCCTGGTGACTCCTGAGGACTCTGGGAAGCTTTAGTCTATTCCCTACATTATGCTCCCCCATGGAGGGCTTTCTGTTAGCTGATTTTGCTTTGCAGCCTTCTGCCCTAATAAATCACAGCTGTGGGTATGACTGGACACTGTGTCCTAAGAGAACTTTGGCAAATCATTAAATCTAGGGGTGATCATGGAGGACTCATCCTAATATTCAATTGTTATTAACGTCTGGCCATTAAAAGACATTCATCCATTCATTCTTCTCTTTCCACATTTTTATTGGTGCATTATAGTTGTACAAAATGTTCCTGCACACAATATAACAATATAATTTAGCTATTATCAGTCCCCAACACATCCCCTCTCTCCCTCCCTCATTAAAATTTTTAAAGCAAAAAGAAGTGGGACTGAAGTGTAGCTTAGTGATACAACATCTGCTTAGCATGTGCAAGATTCTGGTTCAATCCCTGGTGCCTAAGAAAAAAATGAAAAGAAAAGAAAAGAAAAAAAAAACAGTTTTGTCTGGATTGTAATTGATGGTTATTAATTGTTCATTTGTTCCTTCAGTATAGCAATAATAAATCTTAATATTCAATATTCAAACTCTTCAAATATCAGTGAGGTAGAGCTGTCCAAAATTTCATTTTTTATTATTAAATATTTCCATTATTTACAACAAATAGAGAAAAAACTATAGTGAGCCCCTATGTAACTAACAATAGCCACTGGCTCTCTCCTCCAACCATTTAGGATGCCAAAAAAAGGTCAAGGGGAAGAAAATGGCCCCAACTCCTGATATCAGAAAAAAGCAGGGAACCAAGAAGGTGGTAAATCTTATTTGAGAAAAGTCCTAAAAACTTTGGCATTGGACAGACATCCAGCTCAAAAAGGATCTCACCCACTTTCCCACTTTGTCGAATGGCCCACTACATCCAGCTGTAACAGCAAAGGGTCCTCCTTTATGTGCAGCTCAAAGTGCCTCCTGCAATTAGCTAGCTCACCAGGCCTTGAACTGCCAACCTGCTGCACAGTTGCTTAGGCTGCCCACAAATGCAGACCAGACACAAAGCAAAAGAAGAAGCAGACTGTTGGCCTGGGCCGAGAAGAAAGCTCCTGGCAAAAGGGATGTTTCCACCAAAAAGACAACCTGTAGTCCTTCTAGCAGTGATTAATCCTTTCACCACAGCACTGGGGAAGAACAGGAAGGCTCAGCTGGTGGTGACTGCACATGGCCATGGATGCTGTCCAGCTGGTTTCTTCCTGTCTGCCCTGTGTTACAAATCAGGAGTTCCCTAACTGCATCAAGAGGAAGGCCAAGCTGGGACACGGAGCCCACAGGAAGATGGGCACCAACCACTGTTGCTTTCACACAGGTAAACAAAGAGCTCTGGCTAAGCTGGTGGAATTACAATAATATGTGATAAGATCTACCATCTCTGGAGAGGCAACATCCTGGATCCAAAATCTGCGGCTCACATTGCCAACTGGACAAGGCAGAAGCTAAAGAAACTATATTAAATGTAGACTGCTGAGTTTCTGTACCTAAAAATAATAAAAATTGTCCTTCAAAACCCAAAACAAACCAATCAATAGCTAATGGTCAATCATGCATCATTTTTATCCCCAGCCAGTCCTCTTTCTTTCTCCTTCCACCTTTGTCTGAATCAAACTATATAAATATAAGACATTATATCATGACACCTGTCAGTATTTCGGTAGTTACACAGAAATTCACCAAAAGAAAATAAATATCTGAGATTGTATTTTCATAACATCCTTAATTCAAAACTAAGGTTTTGAAGACCTGGTGTACAGAATTGGAGGCTAACATTTCCTCTGCAGGGCTGTGCTTATTCTTTGATCCTTTTTTTACAGATTAGCTAGAAGACAGAGATTCCACAGAATACCTATAGCATATTTTCTACCATATTAATTTAGAGAAGAAGTGCAAAACTTTGTTGCTAACCAAAATTCATATCTGAATGTTTTACTCCCTTAGCCAGATAAAATTGTCATTTCTTTATTCCTTTCAGATTAAAAATAGCACAATTTAACATCCTGTTATCATCTTCCCTATTTAACTCACTCTCTTATTCTTATCCCTCAATCATTGTACCATACCAAGAGAATTGAAGAAACTCCAAAACCTCTGCTCTTACTCTTTTTTTTTTTTTAAGATAGAGAGGAGAGAGCGATAGAGAGAGAATTTTAGTATTTATTTATTAGTTTTCGGCGGACACAACATCTTTGTTTGTATGTGGTGCTGAGGATCGAACCCGGGCCGCACGCATGCCAGGCGAGCGCGCTACCGCTTGAGCCACATCCCCAGCCCTCTGCTCTTACTCTTATTCCCATCTGAGAAATAAAATTATTTCTTTTTAATGTTTCCACTACTCCAAGTGATTAAGTTTAAAACCACAACCATATCAAAATAAACTATTTTTCAGTAATTAATAGTACCATGTAAAACTGAAAAAATAATCATACCAAATTTTTTGTAGATGAATATTTTCTAATAAAAACTAAATTTAAGAAACAAGTCAAATATTGAACATTTTATCTACTTAATTAATTTGTAAAGCTAATTTTATCTCCCCAAACAATTCTTAAATGAATTTTAGGAGTGACTTCTCTGTGACCCTCATTTTTTCCCATTAATTAATACAATATTAGAATGAAGAATAAATATAATACCTCTTTATCTAAATCTATCTTCCTAAGATGAAGGCTCTTCAATTTTTGCAGCATTATGTCATTAACTTTCTCACTTTCTTTGCAATGGTCTGCATCAGGATTGGTGATGTCCTAAGGGTAGTAGAGTTTGAGAAACAGATTAAAGTATTTTTTATCAACTTAAAAGGAGGAAAAAAATAAAGCAAATGAAACAACTCTCCCTTCCAAAATAAGTGGCCAAACCAAAGGAGATAAAATCATTTTGAACTCCATTCTTCAAATACTCTTCACAAGATCTCATACAGAGTTAATATGGAAGGATCTATATTGATTCAATATATATATTCAATAAATATAATTATCTCCAATGACATGTCAGGAAGTTAGTAAATACTTGTTGAGAGTCCATTAGGAGCTAAACATTTATTTTATTGACTCTCTTTGTATAGTCCAACCCCAATACTTTTTTCCAACTAAGAATCTGATTTTTAAAATTACCTGACATGTGAGAAGTCCTACCATCAAAGTCAGAAGACTATGAATTTTGGAGGTCAGCTGAGGAGTTTTCAGATCTGTAGTATTCAAGCCCTCTTCTTCATAAGGTGAGCAATTCAGTAACAAATTACAAGGTACCATCTCAGCATCCTACATGTACACAATTCAGATATGTCACAAGAAAGACAAAGAATCTGAATTACCTTTTAAGTAAAATTTAAAAAAATATATTTTTGTTTTTAGTTTTAGGTGAATACAGTATCTTTATTTTTATGTGATGCTTAGGATCAAACCTAGTGTCTCACACATGCTAGGCAAGCACTCTACTACTGAGCCACAACCCCAGCCCCAGTAAAATGCTAAATAAAATAGCACTCTTAAAAACTTTGAGAGATGTTCTTAAACTCTTTTTCCTTGGGGCTTTTGTGTACTCTTAAAAATTATTGAGGACCCCCAAAACCTTTTGATCATGTAGTTTCTAGCTATCAATATTTAGTGTAGGGGCTAGGGATGTGGCTCAAGCGGTAACGCGCTCGCCTGGCATGCGCGGGGCACTGGGTTCGATCCTCAGCACCACATAAAAATAAAATAAAGATGTTGTGTCTGCTGAAAACTGAAAAATAAATATTGAAAATTCTCTCTCTCTCTCTCTCTTTAAAAAAATATTTAGTGTATTAGAAATTATAACTAAGAATATTTTAGAATATTTGTTTGGTGATTTAACTAATAACACTTCATGTGTACCAACATAAATATTTAATTAAAATTATATTTTCAAAATTAAAAACAAATACTGAAAAGAATGGCATTATTTTACATTTTTGCCAATTTTCTCTGTGTGAGTGTGGTCCTTGGGATGGAACCCAGGGCTTTGAACATGCTAAGCAAGCTCTTTACCACTGAGCTACAACCTTAGCCCATTCTGCAAGTATATGTGTGTATATATATATATATATATATATATATATATATATATATATATATAAATGTTATATTAATAAGACAGCAGGATTCCCATATTTGCTTCACATACCCAATCAGCCCTGAGAACAAATACAATATCATGTCACATAGCTTCTGGAAAAACCTATACTGAAAAAGTGAATGAAAAAGGCAATAATGTCTTAATATTATTAACAAAATATTTTTGCTTTCACAGATGATCCTGAACTATACTTTGAAAAAATGAACCTAGTGTTAGTGAGAAGCAAAACTGAAAGCCCAGTATGAAATTTCGGATATTAAATAAATTCACTAGTGAAGATAACACAAGGAACTTGATTTTTTTTTTTAGAGGATGCTTAAGAAAAAATTGTATACAATGTTAAACCTCTATATAGTTAAACTAATTCAGAGTTTATCAATCCAAAAGGTATCATGATTTGGTTAGGAGCTAAAGTTAAGGTCATCTTCTTACGTCAGTGGTTCTCCAAATGGGATCCCTGGATAGCAGCATTAAGACTTGGGATCTTGCTGGAAGTGCACATTCTCAAGCCCCATCCCAGGCCTTCTGAATCAGAAACTCTTGTGGCAAGGACCAGCAGTCTGTTAATAAGTCTTCCAGGATATGTATTCAAGTTTGGAACCACTGATTTAGATAATCTTAGAATTTTTAAAACACAAGAATCCTTAAAAATAGAATTATTTGGGACTGGGTAGTAGCTCAGTAGTAAAGTACTTGCTTCATGAATGTGAGGCCCTTGGTTCAATCTCCACTACCATTAAAAAAAAAATTGTTTACTTGCAAACACTTAGACTGATTACAGATTCATAAGAGAAAGTGAGCTGAGGACATCTTCAAGGCAACATATCAGCTCAGCTCAGTTATATTTGTTATAACAAATTTTTAAAAATACATTTCCCTAGTTTAATTAGCTTTTTAAGAAGTCAGAATTACTAAGATTTTACTACACTTAGTAAAGATTCGTATACTTTAAGGTAGGCCTATGATTTGCTCCAGTTGGTGAAAATTATCTTTTCCTTGGATGTGCTTTCAGGTTCTTGGCTATTAAAAAAGTCTTTTGAACTGCAGATATTAAAAAAAACTACATCTCTACGCATATTAAAATGAGGTTCTGATGGTATTTTTAAATGCCTTATAATTTAAAAAAATAAATATGTGATGTTTTAATTAGAACATTTGTTTTACCTTGTACCAAATATGCAATTATTTCATTTTATAGCTGTTTAGGATGGAGAGCAATATTTAGAAAATCCTTTCTCAAAGGTAACTTCTGAGAGATGCTTCAGGTGATTGGTTACAAAATTCCCAGGATGTCACCTCTACCAAAATACTCAGAAGAAGACAAGAATGGCTACTCTTTAAGGTGAGTACCTATAAGCCAAAAAAACCTTCTTCAAACCTGTGGTGCATTTTCCTGTTTCTCTTTTTTGTTAATAACTGTTTCTGCAAACAAATACTACATATAAATAATACCATGTCTACATGTACATCAATCAATATACCACTAGAAACTTTTGGAATTCTATGTTAGGAGATTCTGAATCTGCATCAGTACCTTGGTAACAACTGGCTCCATTATTTCCTCTAATGACTCCATTAGCTGAGCTCTCTCAAATTTAGGGACACTCTTTGAAACCTGCAGCTGAAGTTTTGCATTTTCATTTTTTACTCCACTGATCTGCTGCTGGAGTTGTGAATTCTTGGCCTTTTCTTTTTCACATGTGAATAGCAAATTTTTAACTTGAGGAATCAATTTCTCAATTCTCAATTTCAATTTCTGTTTTTCTTTCAGGTTTTCCTTTTCATGTTTCTGGAATTCCTCCTGTAAAGACAAGAACTGTTGTTCTCGGGTCTCTTTTTCCCTTTTCAACAAGTCCAAAGCAGAAGTGGTAGCTTTCTCCATTTCTCCTTTAAGTTGCTGCAGCCTTCTTATTTCCTCTTCTTTCTTGCTTAACGTTTTGTCCATCTCTATACACTGATTTACAGATCTATTTTTCTGTTGCATTTCAGTAATGCACCTTTCCTGCAAACGAATATAACCGACCTTGACTTTTTTAACTTCTAGCTGTAAGATTTCCTTCTCTTTCCTGGATTCCTGAAGTCGTTTTTTGGTGTTAGCTAAAATCTCTTGCAAATTCTGTAATTTCTTCTTAATATCATTCCTTTCTAGGATTATGTTGTATTTGTCTTCAATTAATTCTTCGATGTTTTCCTTTAGCTTATTTATGATGTCAATGAACACCTGCTGTTTGGTAATCTTCATCTCTAGTTCTTTAACTTTCTTCTCTAAATGCAGGTTCTTACACTGGAAGTCCTGGATCTGCACCTGCTGTGTTTTGTTTGTGTATTTCAATTTCCGTAAGGCTTCGTTTAAAGCCATGTCCTCTTCTAAAGGCTGTAAGCCTTCCAAGCTTTGCTCTGTGTCAGGTGTCAGGCAGTTCTCCCAAGAATTTCCCCCACTCTTGGAGATGCCTGGAGACCAACTTAAGACAATCTCTGGGCTTTCCGCATTTCCTGCTATGGCTTCTTCCTGCTGACTGACTGACATCTCAGGAATCTCCTCAGGATTTTGTATTTCTTTTGAAGAAACTTCAGTCTGTAAATTACAGTAAATAAAATAAATATGAAAAAGTACAAGTATCCCAATAAATCACCTTTTAAGCATGAGTTTGACAAGAGAAGCTATGGCTATTTTATTTCATTTAGAAGTATGAGAGGGTTTTGTTGTTGTTGTTGATTTATTCGGAAGTAGATGGCATCATTTGAAAAAGAACTTTATTGGGTTAGGGATATAGTTCAGTGGTAGAGCATTTGCTTGAGGCCCTGGATTGATACCCAGGACTGGGAGAAGTGGGGGGAAATCTTATTTTCCCATGTTGATTTCTGGAAAACAGCATTTTAAAAATTTATTCAATTAGTGTTAGAGTTTCTCAAGATTGAGTGTTCCTCTTTCCATTGCATTCAGTCATTTTATCAGCCAGCCAAAGCAGGCCTTGAATTCTTTTTTTTTTTTTTTGAGAGAGAGAGGGGTGGGAATTTTTTTAATATTTATTTTTTAGTTTTCAGTGAACACAACATCTTTATTTTTATGTGGTGCTGAGATTGAACCCATCGTCCCACGCATGCCAGGTGAGCATGCTACTGCTTGAGCCACATCCCCAGCCCAGGCCTTGAATTCTTAATGACTAGTTTGGTTCCTCAACTATAAAATAACAATAATAATACCTACTTCCAATAATATCTACTTAACAAAGTTAACTCCTAAATATGAATTGCTGAATGTATGTATATCACCTAAAGCACAACAGAACACAAGCAGTAATTGTATGGTACAGGTATATATTGTGTTTATTTTGACAAAACAAAAAATTATACTTTTATACTTTCACCATTTTCCATCATGCAAACTTCTCTTAACACATATAATATGCTTTGACTTTAAATGAATAAAACAAAGAAATGTATCAATTTCCCTAAAGAACACAAGGTCCTTTTTGAATAGATTTTAAAATTCCTCATATAGACCATTACACCTCACTGTGCTACAACTCTGTGACCATGAGAATGGTAGGCAAACAAACCTCATGATTGACTTTATGGCCACAACCTAGGTTTTAGGGAAGAGGTTAATAGTCAGTAAATTGTGGTTAAAAAAAACACTAAAATGAATATGACATTAAAAACTCAGTAAGATACCTGTCAAGTGGTATTAGACCAACTCGACCCCTGACTTAATGAATTTTCATTACTTGGGATAAAGACAAGTAACTTTTTGAGACCTAAATGACCTGGACACCTGACCTGCCACTCCTCCGTCCGTATCCACCACACCCTTCCTGCCCTTGCAACCCTGGGTTTCCTGGACTGGGCTTCCTTCAAGTCCTAGCAAGTACCCGGCTCCCTGCAGCCACAGGGGTTCTGTAGATGTTGTTACCTGAACATGGACTGTTTCTCCACCCATGGTAGGCTAATGGATCCCTCCACTCACTCTTTAGAGCTTAATGACCACACCTTTTGGACTCCCTGACCACGTCAGTGTCCTACTGATCTACTTCAATACAGCTCTTTATCATTGATAAAAAAATACCTTTATTTGTGTGATTATTTGCTTAATGACCATCTCTTCTACTAAGATGTTTTTTCTTATACCTTTATTTTATTGATTTATAAGTAGTGCTGAGGATCGAACCCAGGGCCCCGCACATGCTAGGTAAGCACTCTACTGCTGAGCCACAATCCCAGCCCTTACTAAGACATTATTTTCATGAGGACAAGAACCAAATATATTTCTTGTTTGTTTGTAACCAGGACATAACTAGGATATAGGCCAGGGCCTGGTACAAAAAAGATGCCCGAGTATCTGTTGAATGGTTGAGAAATGACAATGCAACAGAAAGAGGAAGGAGCAATTTTGAAAAACCCTAATTAAGCAGACTTTTTAAATGTTATTTTCCAGAAATCAATATGGGAAAATTTTGGGAAGGCTGGGGATCAAGCTTGCTAGACAAGTACTCTACCACTGAGCTACAACCCCCAACCCAGGAAAGTCCTTTTTCAAATGTAGCCATCTACTTCCAAATAAATGAAAAACAAAACACTGTTCATACTTAATAAATGAAATAACAGTCACAGCTTTTCTTATCAAACTCATACCGAAAGGGGGGTTATTAATACTATGTATTAATATTATGCTTGGATTCTATTTACCCACACAAGTTCTTACAACTCATTTTTTTCTTCAGACAGTATGTAGAAATTATACTCTTGGTATCTTCAGTGCTTTGGGGATACTACATGTGTGACAAAGATAATGTTTTCACTCTGGTAAAAGTTAGTATTCTTTGCTTGTCCACAGAAGTTCAACATATAGAAAAATCTTAAGCTTTTCTTGTCAAATAATTTAGTCAATACTTCTGCATGCCTGCCTTTTCTCAACTTTTCCCTCATTGCAAACTATGAGTTTCAACTAGTTTGTTTCAAATGATATAAAAATATATTACATTCAATGTCCTATGAGATGCTATAGGCTGTATGTAATTCTTTGATTTAATATTTAATGCTACTTGGACAAGCCTAAATTATATGTTTTTAAAAACAGACCAAAACCTGAACATCCTTGAATGTTCCACAGTCTTTACTATCTTTAATAATCTTACCTCTTCTGTTTTATAATTAACTCTCTGATCAAGCAGCCTAAAGCTATTCTCCTTAAAAAATGGGTTTTCATAATTTCTGAGGACACCTTCTTTATACAAAAAGCTCTGAGGTTGACTAGGGTTGAAGGCAGATTCCATAGCTGTGCTTTTAGCCAGTGACTTTTCCACAAACTGCAGTGTCTCTCCATTGCATTGGAGTAGATGTGGACTTTGAGGAGACTGTCTGACACACTCTTGAGCAAGCTGGTCTTTATTTGCAGAAATGCTAGTTTCCATTGGATTTTCTTCCTTACATAAATCTTGCTTTATATTGGTATCTTTTGCATAATTATACACATGGCTTTGCAATTCTGGCTTCTCCATGTAAGAAAAGCCTTCTGTTAGATTTTGAAATGTTGTCATTTCATCATTAAATGCTTCTAGCTGATGAAATTTGCAAATGGGTTCAAATTGTCTCAACGAAGAAATGCAGGTGTTAATAGGCTCAATTTGAATCTTCTGTGAGTAACTTCCAATGTTGATATCTCATTAGAAAGAAAGAATGATTGACCATCAGTTCATGTGATAAATGTTATACTTAACAAATAAATTGTTGAAGCCTTTTAGAAATAACATATCTTTCAACCTTATTCATTGCATGGATTTCAAGCATGACTGTGCTAGCAAACTAAACACAGCAACTTTTTACATGGAGGAAAGAAGTCCTTAAATGCCACAGAAAAAGCATGATTTTTATTTTTTATCATTTTGGTCAAATACCATTACAAAAAATTCCAAGATATCTTCAAAATTCTGTTATAATTTTAAAATATTTTAATTACAGAATGATTCAAAAGGATGCAAAATCACATGGAGTAGCAATAACAGCAAACATTTAAAAAAACTTGTTTGATCTTATTTGTAACTCAATCTTTTTTAAAAATATTTATTCTTAAGTTTTAGGTGGACATAACATCTTTATTTTACATTTACGGGTTACTGAGGATCAAACCCAGTGCCTCATGCATGCTAGGCGAGCACTCTACCACTAAGCCACAACCCCAGCCCAGAAACTCAAATCTTATTTGTAAATAAGATCAAACAATAATAAGAAACGGAGATGCAAGAGACATTGTCACTTCCCTAAGGTCACAGAGCTCAGATTCTAGAGTACTACTTCTAAATGAAATGCTATACTGTTTTTCAGTGGGGCATACTGCCAATTTTTAATACATGTCTAAAAAAATTAGAAAGAAGCTGAGTGTGGTGGCACACACCTGTAATTCCAGCAAGGCAGGAGGCTTTAGAAGGAGGATTGCAAGTTCAAGGCTAGCCTCAGCAACTTAGGGAAATTTTTGACTCAAAATAAAATTTTAAAAAGGGCTGGGAGCCAGGCACAGTGGTGCATGCCTATAATTCCAGCAGCTCAGGAGGCTGAGGCAGGAGGATCTCAAGTTCAAGGCTACCTTCAGCAATTTAGCAAGGCCCTAAATAACCAGTGAGACCCTGTCTCTAAATAAAATACAAACAAGGGCTGGGGATGTGGCTCAGTGAAAAAGTGCCCCTGAATTCAATCCCCAGAACCAAAAAAAAAAAAAGGCTGGGAATATATAGTTTAGTGGTACAGTACCTAGCATGTGCAAAGCTGTGGGTTTGATCCCCAGTACCACAAAAACAATAGCAATAAATAAGAAAGAAATATTTTCCTTTCTTATTGTCATAATGGCATTTTCTAAATTTTTTTAAGATGTTAGAACTTTTTAGTTCACATGTAGGTCTTTATCTATGTGGAATTTATTTTTGTATTTGGTGTGAGTTAAGGTTCTAATCATTTCCTACATTCTTTAAAGTGTCAACTGTTTGAGGAGAACTGAATTATCTAATCCATTGATGATCTAATCCATTCTTTCTCTGATTTATAATAATACCTCTATCAGATACCAAGTGTCCATTTTTCATAAGCGGATCTATTTTTGGACTTTTTATTATTTCACTGTTGTGTTGCCTGTCTGCCTATAATTGTTAATTTACTAAAACTTCTATAATAAATCTTGTTATATGGCAGGACAAGTCTCCTACATCTTCTTTTCCAAAATTGCAATTATTTTTGGTTTTTAGGTTTTTAAAAACTTTTTTCACTCCTAAATGGGAGTTAGGACCAACTTAGAAAAAATGAAATGGCATTAATTCATATATTTGAGGAAAATGTAAAATTTTATCTTCATAATACTGAACATGAAACATTTATATTTTGTCTTCCAGGAAAGTTTTATAACTTCTAGAGAAATCTTTATACATTTTTTTAGATTTATTCTTAGGTACCTCAGTTTGAGCTGCTACTAGAAAGTTTTTTAAAAAATATTTTTTAAATAAGTTGATGCTGGTACATTGTATTGCTTATTGTTTTACATTTATTCTTTTACATCAATTTTTCTAAACTTTTGTATTGATTCCAATATTCATAGATTCTTATTAATTTTCTCTGTAGAAAAATCACGTTTACAAAAAATTTCTTTTCCTTCCTAATTCTTATTCTTACAACTGCACATACTGAATTCTATAATTTCAATAATGCAAAATTATTAAAAATAAAGAGACAAATCAAATCTTTTTAGTATTAGTCATAATTATTAAAAATAAAAAGACCTTTCTATACAGCATTTGGATTTGCTTTACTAAATATGATCTATGTTTCTCATTATATGATTAACTCTGTAGCTTTCATCTATCAACTTAAGGCTAGAATAGGAGATTTTTAGTTATATCAACATATATCTTTTAAGATACTTGTACAGTCTATAATTCTAGTGTCAGAATAGACTTGAATCATAGCTTAATTGAAGATACATGACCGTAGGCAAGTTACTGAATCTTACTCTCTTTCTCTGTAAAATGGAGATAAAACAGCCCTTGTTTGAATTTTTTAAAATTCCTATTTCATAGGTTTGTAAATTAAATGTAATAAATGTATATAAAGTGAATAAATGTATATAGACTGCTTAGCATAGTACATATTATTATTATCATCACAGGTACAAAAATTGTTTTTGTTTTGTATGTTGCCAACAAAGAGATACTTACCACCTGAACTGTCTCGAGTGCTATAAATATCTTCAGAAAGTATGGGTTTAGACTCATTTTCCCTCTTTGCATTTTTTGTTTCATTCTGCATTAATAAAGTAAAGGGCATTAATATTAACACTTCAAACATTGTAAACTTCTAAAGATATACATTCATTGCTACATAATTTTCTTATTATATGAGCTTTTTTTTTGCACAGGTGAATTTTTTTTGCACTAGTATCTTTCCTGAGTCACAACACTGACAAATAGCCTACGATTTCAATATTTTGGTGTTTTTGTAAGTCAGATCATGTAACTATAAACATAAGAATACTTGAGAGTACATATATATGCATATTACTGATAATTCTTTGATGTTAAATCTTGTCTAAATAGCATTAGAGTAGTTGTTAGTCTAGTTTTTTAACATTAAAGATATATAAATCAGAGCTCTAGTAATGAGCTGACATCTGATTCCATTAAATGGTAATTTTTGAAATTCATAGGATTATTCAGTTATTTCAATATTATCTAAGAAAGGGTTTAGTAATTAATATAAATAAAATAAAAAGAAACTATTTTAAATTTTTGAGGAAAATATTGGTTTAATCATAGTGTATCAAATGGTAGGCATGATGGCTTATAATTCCAGTGACATGACAGGCTGAGGCAAGATGATCCCAAGTTCAAGGCCAGATTCAGCAACCTAGCAAGATCCTATCTCAAAATAAAACAAAAACAAAAACAAAAAAAAACTGGGGATGTAGCTTAGTGGTAGAGCACCTCTGTTCAGTCTCCAAGACCAAAATAAATAAATAGTATATCAAGTGTGTGGATATAAACTGTACCCTAAAAAACATCCACTTATCTTTTACTAAAGTGTTAGCTAGCTGGGTGTGGTGGTGCGTGCCTATTAACCCAGTGACTCAGGAGGCCAAGGCAGCAGGGTCCCAAGTTAGAAACCAGCCTCAAATTGCAAGGCTCTAAGCAACTTAGCAAGACCCTGTCTCAAAAAGAACTGGAGATGTAACTTAGTGGTAGAGTACCAAGCACTACCAAAAACAAGTCAGTTGACTATAAACTTCTATTCAGTAATACTTTTTTCTTATATTTATTATTAAGTTTTAGGTGGACACAATATCTTTATTTTACATTTATGTGATGCTGAGGATCGAACCCAGTGCCTTGTGTGTGCTAGGTGAGCACTCTACCACTGAGTCACCCCCCCAGCCCCTTCAGTAATACTTTTTAAGAATTGTCCCATGTGTTGAATGTACTTGGAAGTACAATAAAAACAGATACAGCTTATTAAAATCTGTTTTTTAGACTTGTTACTAATTTAGACCATTCCTCCTAATTACATTTTAAAAGTATTAAGAATATATTTAAAAAATAAGCATGATTCACTTGCGTTTATATTTCACAAATCTTCTTATGATTCTACTTCTCATAGAATTTCAGACAACTTTCAACCCCAGTCATCTCTGATAGTACTATTTTTAACTAAAATGTGCCTTTTTTAATACATATAAGAGGATGTGAGGGGAAGGGGAAAAAAAGAGAGAGAGAGAAATGAGTTACGGTTGATGGAGTAGAGAGAGGTGAGGGGAGGGGAGGTGAGGGGAGCGGGGATAGGAAGAGGATAGGAAGGGCAGCAGAATACAACAGACACTAGTATGGCAGTATGTATAAACGTGGCTGTATAACCAATGTGATCCTGCAGTCTGTACACGTGGGAATAAGAATTTATACCCCATTTGAATCAAATGTATGATATATGATATGTCAAGATCAATGTAATATTTTGAGCAACTAATAAATTTCTGATAAAAAAAGAAATACAGGGAGAGGTGGGGAGGGGGGAGGGTGGAGGATGGGAAAGGCAGCGGAGCACAACAGACACTAGTATGGCAATATGTAAATCAAGGGATGTGTAACTGATGTGATTCTGCAATCTGTGTATGGGGTGAAGGTGGGAGTTCATAACCCACTTGAATCAAAGTGTGGAATATGATATGTCAAGAAATTTGTAATGTTTTGAACAACCCACAATAAAAAATTTAAAAAAAAAATAAATAAATAAAAAAAGAAATACAATTGACAAACATATGAAAAAAATGTTTTAATCTCTCTGGAAATTAGAGAAATGCAAACTAAGATTTCATCTCATTCTAGTCAGAATGGCAATTATCAAGAATATAAGCAATAACAGGTTTTGGCGAGAATGTGGGGGAAAAGGTAGAATCATACTTTGCTGATGGGACTGTAAATTGGTGCAACCACTCTGGAAAGCAGTATGGAGATTCTTCAGAAAACATGGAATGGAACCACTATTTGATCCAGGTATAAACATTAAAATGTCCAGTTAACTGAAAAAAAATGTGCCTTTTGTGTATAAATTTATTATAAGGAATAAAACGTCCAGTGAAATCCAAGGAGGATCTCCTTATGTAATTTAAGATATCTGTTTTTCCAAATGTAGAATATAGTATCTTAGACCTTGATCAACACTAAAATACTATGATCTATTTTTTCAAAATGAGAAAGTTTTTAATAATTATTTTAAAAATGCTGGTCACTGAAGACACAAAGTATTCAAAAGCTCACCATAATACATAAAGCTACGGGTCAACTTTACATCTGTCCTGATAATTTAACTAGCCCCCATTGATGAAAATTTAGTTTCCAATGTTTAACTACTACAGATAATTATATAAACATCTGAATATTTTCTAGAGAGAATTTTAATTTTTGTAGCAGGATCGAACCCAGAGGAGCTTAAACAGAGCCACATCCCCAGACATTTTTATATTTACAGACAGGGTCCCAGTAAGCTAATTAGGGCCTTGCTAAATTGCTGAGACTGGCTTTGAACATTTGATCGTACTGCCTCAGTCTCCTGAGCTGCTGGGATTACAGGTGTGAGCCATGGTGCCTGGAATTGTAGACAGAATTTTAAAATGCGGTTGAACTCTTAACTTCATATCTCTAAATATCCCTTTAGAAAGGCTTTGCCAATTTATAAACTGAATCACATGAAATTTTCAATATTTGTTCATTTTTGAACTACAAAAGGCAATTTTATATGGCCTAACTTAATACATTCCTATTATTTCCCTATACTCATGTTAGCAACTATCAAACCCTTAGAACAACACTTCTGAAGATCTTGGGATATTTTATGAGAAAGGGCGCTAGGAATTTTCATGAAGATAAAGGATGGGAGCCATGTACATGGAGGGTACTGTCAATGTCATTACGAATGACAACTAAATCTGCATACTGACACAGTGGGAGACACATGCCCTGCCTCTGTGACTGAATTGTGGCTTTGTCCCCTAACTGCACTTTTGGGCCTTCATGAGCAGGATAGAAAGTATCAGTTCTGACACTTTTATCTGTAAAATTTTCTCTTCAAACACTAAAGGGAGTAAGAAAACCAGGCTGCATTCCCCTCCTTTGTGCGTCCACCAGAAATTCTCCTATTCTTCTTCATATTTTTGAAGATATTTCATCTGGATGACAGTGCGAATGCTGAACAAAGCTGAACCTCCAGAACCTATAAGCAATGCACACCTGAGGCAAGTCTGAAGCACTGAGGCTTGTTTCCATACAGCAGGGAAAATCTGAGTGAGTTAAATCTTCAGAAAGACCACTGAAATTCAAGGCATCCGATTCTGACATGCTTTCTAATTTTTCATGAGGTGTCTCCACTCCAAAATGTACAGGATCTGGTGGTAATGACCAAAACTTGTTTTTTTGTAATGCCAGGGATGATGTCCAAAAATTTTCAGAGTCCTTGTTCCTTTGTGCTGAATGATGGAAAGCCTCCTCAAAAAACAAAAGCAAACAAATAAAAAACATGAACACATATAATTTTAGTATCTATTAATATATGCAAATAAAAATGGGTTTCCCCTACCCTTCCTCATACTTGCAGCAAAGTTCACTGCCCTAAATGTTATAAAAGTGCCATTTAAGTTATTAGAAAATTTAAAAATTTAGTCTTAAGTATACCATGATAACTTGGTATGCTACTATCCCATAATTCCCTAAAGGCTATGACCTAGAAAGTGAAGGGATCTCTGTTACTTAATTAAAGGACCAACACTAAGCCCTCCTCACTTCCTTATGTCACATGGATTCTCTCAGGCACCGGTGATTGAAGATTTGGAGGCATCTTGGCATCCACCTCATTATCCACAGCTGAACCATTACCAAGTCCTGTCTGATTTTGCTTTAAAACTGTTTTTCCATCACCCATGTTTTCATTCCATCCCCTATGCTATCACTCTGATCCATATCCTGACATACTCATCTGCCAGAAGATGGGAGGAGGAAAGATATTCAGTCACTGAGTCCAAATTCTTCTACTTGACTTTCATGTACCGACATCACCTACCCAATATTCCCTCCAACTTTAGTCAGATCAGGCTCATTTTCCTGCAAATAGATAATGCTTTCTACTACTTTGGCAACTGGACCTGGCCTTCACTTCTCTTAAAACCTTCATCTGTTTTTAAAAATCTTTGCTATGTTTTAAGTCTGTAACTCTCTCACAATTCATCCTACTGCCTTAGTCTTCACCATTGTTCCAAGGGTGTTAGTGTTTTTTATTTATAGATTACAATTGCCTTTTGGGAAGTCAACTTATGCCTTTATGTACAACCTACTATAGGCAGACCACTGTTTTCTGCACAGTAAATATTGATTGAATAAACCCTGCATTCCAGTGCCTTATTTCTACTAAATCCTCTCAATGTGCAGTCACTACTTATTTGCCTGGATGAATTGGTGAATTAATGATCAACTTAATGAAGATTCTGTTCAAACTTATGCTATCACTTAGTAAAATATAAAAACAGTAAGCCAGGAAGGTCACATAGGACTTGTGAAAGGTCCAACTTTATCCTCACTTCTTCTAAGGTCTTCCAAACAAATAGATTCCGCCTGCGATATGGTGAGGGGGATCTGAAAAAACTATCTTGCTGTTTTCCAAATTCCAAAACCCATAAAGGCCTCTCTTCTTTTCTTGGTGAGTCGGTAACTTTCAAATACATAACTTTGTTCATGCCCGCTAGGTCGCTGCACAATCTGCCAGTTTCTTTTTTTTTTTTTTAAGTCAGGCCTACTTTTTTCATCTTCCACATCTGTCTTTAGCATATTTTTATTAGATTTTTAAAATACTTACTCAACTGTTTGGAGAGCTATTTCGCAGACACGCTAAAGCAGTTTAAAAGTAGATGATATGTCAAGAAACTCTTATTATAAAACTCTTTTTAATATTTTTCAGTCGTGTGACAAACCTAAACTTTTTAAAAGCACGTATTTCATTTTCACCTCAAAACAATGCACCAAACTTTGTGAGACACGTAAGTGTGCTCAACTCCATGATCCAGAGAATTTCTGGAACCCACGCTAAGAACTGCGATCTTCCTACCCCCACACTGGCCCTGAGGGAGGAAGAACCCCTGTCCACCTTTTCCCACCGAGGGCTTCTGCAAACAGGCAGCGGGCTCCAGGCGCGCTGGAACGTCCCTGTGTGACGTCCGCCCGCGCCAGCCACTCTCGGAGCGGAAGGGCACCGGCGCGCTGGACGCCTTCGGCGCGGGGTAGACCCCACTCAGTTCCAGAATGAGCGTGGACTACCACGGAAACAGCCTGTGAGCTAACTGGAGCGTCCTTCTACGAAAATAACCACAAAGTATCGGGAAGAAACGAAAAGCCCCAGGCTGAAAGCCGCAAAGCGGAATCAACCCCCTCCCCCGACAATGCAGTTTGTCCCTCTAGCGCACCGTCCCTAGCGAGCTCCCGGATCTCCGTACGGCACAGGGGCGGGACTTCCTGTGAGATCGGACTTCCGCCGGGGGCGGGGTTTCCCGGTCGGCTTCTGGCCCAGGGTGCCAGAGCTCTGGGTCCTCGTGGTCGGAGCCGAGTGTGTGCGAGGGCTTCTGAACCGTTTGCGAGACGGGGTTCGCGGAGAGGCCGTTGGATTCGCCGCAGGTAAAACCGTCTCTGTGCCGTTCCCTCCCCGGCGCAGAGCGGAAGGCCTCCGGGGGTGTCGAGGGCTCGGTGCCTCCATCATGGACTACCGGCGGCTCCTGATGAGCCGGGTGGTCCCCGGGCAGTTCGACGACGCCGATTCCTCCGACAGGTGAGCGGCGGTAGAATACTCCCACTCTGTTCAGATTCTGCTCTCTCCTTGCTTGTAGTTCATAGGGTGTTTCAGCCGGCTTCTTCTGCATCCCGCTGAGTCTTCCTTATTTTAGGGCAGAGTTCAGTGAGTCATTTGTCAAAGACTGCGTCCCCTGGACGGTCAGCATAGCCGAAAAACAGAATGGGGGATAGCAACTGGCAGACGTAGGTGTTTGTACTGTAACTACATCCTCAGGTATTTATTGAGCACTTCCTGTGGGCCAGGTTTTTATCCTTGGCTGGAAATTGTCATGAACAAGACAAACCCAGGTCCACTGTGATGGAACTTGACGTGGAGAGGAGAACAGACCATTTGTAAACAATAAGATGATGATATGTATCATACAAGTTATAGGTTAATACACTAATTAATGGTCAGGGAACGGTTACAGTCCACATTTAAATGACAAGGGGATATCATTCCAGGCAGAGAGAACAAGTGCATAGGTCTCACGGGTGGAATCCCTCTTGGTTGTGAAAGGCAGTGGAAGTGGTTGAGATAGAGAAACGGGAAGGGACCAGATCATGTAGAGCCTTACAAGTGATGGCAAGGAGTTAAGATATCTTTGAAACTCTTCTAAAAAGGCCAGAGGAGGGATTTTTGCAGGGGAATGATGTAATTTGATTTATGATTTGAAGGAAGTCATTTTGCGTGTAGAATATGGTCATGGGGAATAAGAATGGAACAGAGACCAGTTTGAAAAATCAGGTTCAAATAAGATGGGCACCAGAGCTAGAGTTTTAGAGATATGATTTGGAGATAGAAATGACAGGTTTATTGATAAATTGGATGTGGGTTCTAGGGAAGGAGCAGTGAAGAATCACTCCTACTCAGAAGGAAAATGAAACTGTTATTTTGAAATTCAAGAAAAGGATTCCTTTTTTTATGATAAGGATTTGTTACAATGTAGGTTTTAATTATTAGTTGGGACATTAAAAAATTTTTTTTTAGTTGTAGATGGACACAATATCTTTATTTATTTTCATGTGGTGCTAGGATTGAATTTTCGAGGCAAGCGCTCTGCTACTGAGCCACGATCCCACCCCAATTGAGGCATTTTTCAATAAATAAACTTATACTATTTTCTGTGTGTCACATCTAGTGTTATGTTAGGTGATAGGGGTGTGTTGGTAAACACTATTCTAATTGATGTAGACCTTGTATTCTGGCAAGGAAAACTGGTATTAAATAATTAGACAAATTATTTATATTAGAATTGATTTACTAGTATGGAGGAAAAATGGATGAACGATAAGGAAGACTTCTTTGAGCAAGTGATAGATAGCAAGCTGATATGGGAAGGATGAATAAAAAAAATGAGAAGGGCTTTTCAGTCTTATGATTACAGATCAACATACAGAAGACTTTTTGGAAGAATTTAAGTGGGAAGAAGAAGCAAAGCAGCTTGCTGGTGAATAGATGATAGTAATGAGAATGCACTAGTTTATCGACCAAACCAGCTTATAATCCCAGCTACTCAGGAAGCTGAGGCAGGAGGATCACAAGTTCAAGGCCATCCTCAGCAACTCAGCAAGATTCTGTCTCAGAAAATAAAAAGGACAGCTGTATGCTTCTGTATGCGCCTGTAATTTTAGCAATTTGGGAGATGGAGGCAGGATAATGGCAAGTTCAAGGCCAGACTCAGCAGATTAGTGAGTCCCTCAGCAATTTAGTGAGACTTTGCCTCAAAAAAATAAAAACAAACACAAAAACCCTGGGGATGTAGGTCAAGTGGTAAAGTGTCTGTGGCTTCAGTCCCCTTTATCAGAATTAATAAATAAGGCTGAGAATGTAGCTCAGTGGTTGAGCAGCTTTGGGTTCAATCCCCAGTACCATTTAAAAAAAATAAAAATTACCACCCACATGGGGTATTGTGAGGATAAAACCAGGAGTTCTTTTACTGGGGATGATTTTGCTACTCCCAGGGGACTTTTGGCAATCTCTAGAGAAATTTTTGTCTGTCAAGGATGGGTGGGGGTGGGGGTATGCATTAATAGCAAGTGGTACATAGAGGACATTGATGCTGCTAAATATCCTGCCATGTACAAGACAGTCTGTCATGGCAAAGAATTACTTGACTGAGGTTGAGAGGCCCTGGAGCAAAGTTTAACTTTGACATGCTTCTTTAGGTTATTGATAACTGAAGGATTAATTTATAGATTAGTAGATTATATTTATGAAGTTCTACTAAATTATAGGTGTTGAAGGATTCTGTTCCTACCCAAGCCCATGGGTATTTGGATCTGTCAGAGCCATAGCTACTTAATAAATTGGGATTGGTATCTGCATTTACTTAAATTCATGTGTCACTATTTTAAAGTAGTGCATATTACTAGTTTGTCCATATGATTTCTGTCCGTATTCTCTACATGAAAGGTCAAAACTGGCAATACCTGTATTGAATTTCAGGCCTATAGACATGTTTTGTTTGGTATGCATTTTATTTTATAAAAATTGAATGTGACATGAAAGATTTTACAGAAACATCTATATTTCTGGCTTCTCTTGAAAAACCAAAACAATCTAATAACACAGGTTCTGAATTCTCACATGGCTAAAGATGACCCTATTAGTTGTGCTGCTTTTACCCCTAGACTCTCTCTTTTGGCAGTCCCTACTTCTATTGTCTTATATTCAGCCAACTTGACTCACATGTAGTCCCCATTCTTTCCCTTCATAAACAAGAGTGATTTGAAGTTCTTTGTGTCTCACTAGTCTTAATATAATATAGCTCCTTGTGTTGCAAAGTGGTATTGAGTTCAAAGTAAGACTGCTTTAGACTTATTCCCAAATTTTGCTAGAAAGATTTTTTTTCTAATCTTGGAGCAGCTCCATGAATGATTTTATAGTCAGGTCTGGTGCACTGATCAGAGTAAGTTAATTTAAAAGAGAAGGTAATGTAAATTCTAATCTCACTAAGGCAGGAGCAAGTTTATCACATGCTATACTCCTTCCCTAGTGGGACTTGGGTGTGGAGAATAAGCAATTGCAAAGAACTGAGACACAGGAGAAGTCAGTTTTGGGAAGATGGAACTTATTGGAGATATGTTGTGAGGAATGTTTCAGATTTATCAGCATTATTTAGTCTGTTATTTATTTATTTTTTTTTAAAGAAAGAGAGAGATATTTTTTTTAATATTTATTTTTTAGTTTTCGGCGGACACAACATCTTTGTTTGTATGTGGTGCTGAGGATCGAACCCGGGCCGCACGCATGCCAGGCGAGTGCGCTACGGCTTGAGCCACATCCCCAGCCCCATTTAGTCTGTTATAAATAAATACATACGTGAATCCAGGTAGAGGATTTGTAAACATGCTAAAACATTGTTATTTCTAGTGAAAATGTAAATTTGAAGATAATCAAAGCGGAAGATGGCATTCTGTTTGAAGACTTTCAAAACAATGTGACTAAGAAGAGTGAAAGTGAGATAAAAGTTGAAGAGGAAGAAGAGGAGGACTATGATGATGACAGTGATTGGGATTGGGATGATGGAGTTGGAAAACTCACCAAGGGTTATGTCTGGAATGGAGGGAGTAACCCACAGGTATTTAAATGATTCTGTATAACTTTGTTTTTTTTTTTTTTTTTTTTTTAAATTGGGGCAGATAACTAGGAAGTGAACCCAGAGATGCTTAAAAACTGAGACATATTCCCAGCCCTTCTTATTTTTATTTTGAGACAGAGTCTCACTAAGTTGCTTAGGGCCTCACTACCTTATTGAGGCTGGCTTTGAATTTAAGATCCTCCTGCTGCAGTCTTCCAAGTCACTGGGATTACAGGCATGGGATACCATGCCTGGCTTCTGTTTGTCGTGTGTGTGTGTGTGTGTGTTTTGCTTGGGATTGAATTCAGGGCCTTATGCATACGAGGCAAGCACTTTACCAACTGAGCTATATCCCCAGCCTGTTTGTATTTTTTTAAAAGACTTTTTGTGGTTCTGGAATTGAATAACTGAAGGAGTTTTTTCAAGTTATATTGTCCTGTAGCCCCAGCCTTGATTGATTCTCATTCTGTATCTTTTCATATTTCTCATAGTTTCCTGAGTTTGGATTATTTCCATAATCAGAAAATGTTAAATTATTAAAGTGTCATAAGAGCTGGGTGATTTTTAAGTTCCAGATCAGGGCAACTTGCCCCAAAATAAAAAATAAAAAGTGTTGGGATATAGCTCAATGTAAAGCATTTGCAGCATGTGTGAGTCCCTGGGCTCTATCTCCAGTACTTAAATAAGTAAATAAATAAATATGTAGTATCATAAGATTGTAAACTTAAAAATGTGCATAAAAAAGCACATGAATAGGCAGTAATTATTAAGCAATAATGTTCAAACTTCTTAGTAAATTAAGAAATGTGGATTAAATATGTAGAGATACCAACTTCTCACCTATGAAACTGACAAAGACACAAAATACATAATCGATGGTCAGTTAATAGGTATAATTAACTAGTATATGATAAAAACTTTAAAAGTGTACAAATGTTTTGAGCAGCAGTTCTTCTAGGGGTGTGCCCAAACTTATTTAGAAGTCAGAGTCTCCAAGGTTACTTGTGGGACAGGAACATTAGAAACAACCTCGATTAAGTTTACTCTGGGATACTATGCAGCCATAACATATATTGCAATGGAAGATTATATTAATGAGGTTGAAATATATTCATGATCTACATGTGCAAAAAACAAGTTACTAAGGCATGTAGAGCTGACTTCTCAACTTTAAAGTACTAAATGAATATGTTAGGAGTTTTCAGATCCATAGATTAAAATGGTGTATTAAGGTTACTGAAAGAGATGAAGGGGAAAAGACTCAACATTATTCCTTTGGCTGTTAAAATAGTTCATATATCAGATTGCATTCATTTTTAAAATAACTGAAGAAATTTTGTACTTACTGTGTTCTTGGCTTGGTAATCTTCTATTGATTCATTGATGAGTCTTTAAGCAGTTTGAACATTGACTGTGATGCCTTTTTTTTTTTTTTTTATAACGAACGATCTTTTTCAAGAAAGCTAAAAAAGCAGTCTATACCCAAAGGACTTAAAAACAGCATACTACAGGGACACAGCCACATCAATGTTTATAGCAGCACAATTCACAATAGCTAAACTGTGGTACCAACCTAGATGCCCTTCAGTAGATGAATGGATAAAAAAAAAATGTGGTATATATACACAATGGAATACTACTCAGCAATAAAAGAGAATAAAATCATGGCAGTTGCAGGTAAACGGATGGAGTTAGAGAAGATAATGCTAAATGAAGTTAGCCAATCCCAGAAAACCAAATGTCGAATGTTTTCTTTGATATAAGGAGGCTGGTTCATAGTGGGATAGGGAGTGGGAGCATGGGAGGAATAGACAACTCTAGATAGGGCAGGGGGGTGGGAGGGGAAGGGGGGGGCATGGGTTAATTAATGATGGTGGAATGTGATGATCATTACAATGTATACAACCAGATATGAAAAATTGTGCTCTATATGTAATCTAATAAGAATTGTAATACATTCTGCTGTCATATATAAATTAAAAATTACATTAATAAATAAGTTAAAAAAAGAAAGCTAAAAAAAAGATTTGAAGTGTAAATGCTTAAATGTAAACGGTTGTCTTTATTTGCTGGGATTATAGCAATTAGAATTGTATCTATTTTTCCTAGGGGTGTCACTCAGTGTAGTGCCTAATATGCATGAGGCCCCTCAGTTCAATCCCTAGCACTGCAAAAATAAATAGTTTTACTTATGTTTTCTGCCATGTATTACGGTGTTATCATGTATCTACATGTATTATTTTAATTAAAATTTATTTTTAGCTGGGTGTGGTGGGGCACACCTGTAATCTCAGTGAGGAGATTGGAGGCTGATTCAAGAGAATCGCAAGTTCAAGGCTAGCCTTAGCAATTTAGCAAGGCCCTAAGCATCTTAGTCTCAAAAACAGATAGATGGATAGATTAAAAAAATAAAAGGATTGGGGGTGCAAGTCAATGATAAATTGTCCTTGGACTGAATATCCAGTATCAAAAAATATATTTTTAAAGTTTAATAGAAAATTGTTTTTTTAAGTTTTAATCAAGCTAGAAACGACCCAGTCTCCCATTTCGTCTAACATTATTGAATCAGTAATTATTAGGCCCTTTTTATCTTTGCTACATTCTCTTATTTATGAGTTTTAGGTGTTGTCTCTACCTCTCTCTTTGTCATTAGTGAAGTTTATGTGCAGCACCAGTCAAGCCAAGCCTTGTTATTGGTTTTTCCCCTCTCTTAATATATTGGGCCTAGGGCTGCGTGTGGCGGCACACTCCTATAATCCCAGGGACTCCGGAGGCTTAAGCAGGAGGATCACAAGTTTGAGGCCAGCCTCAGCAATTTAGCAAGATCCTGTTTAAAATAAAACATAATTAAAAAAAATAAAAAGAGATATCAGGCCCAAAATGAAATTCTTAGAAACAGTTTGTGGATAAATGTACATTCTCAAGTTTTAAACCTGCAAACCAACCGGTCAAGTTAGAAACATTCATTTTAATTAACTATTTATAATCATGAAGAATACATTATAGTGATATAAATAACAAGATTATGTGGACTTTGTTCTAGGCAGTAACTTGACCTATTTCAAATGTCTTTTTTTTTTTTTTTTTAAATAGTTTTAAACTGATCTTAGGGGCACTTGCTCATAATCCCAGTGGTTCAGGAGGCTGAAGCAGGATTACAGATTCAAGGCCAGCCTGGACAACTTAGTGAGATCGTGTCTCACAATTAAATTCAGATTTTGTGTGTGTGTGTGTGCGCGCTGGGGATTAAACCCAGGGCCTTGTGAATGTGAGGCAGGCCCTCTACCAATTGAGCTATATTCCCAGCCCCACGATTAAATTCAAAAAGAGTTGGGGATGTACTCAGTGGTAGAGCTATTCTGGATTCAATCTCCAGTATTGAAAAAAAGTCTTGAGCAGATTTGATTGATATTTTTTTAAATTTTTAATTCTTTTTAAAATTATTTCCTCCCTATAATTATGTACTTTATTTTTTATTAGTGCATTATAATTAAATATAGTAGTAGGATGTGTTGTTACATATTTGGACAAGCACACAATATAACAGTCTAATTTGGTCAGTTTCTTCACAGTACTTCCTTTTTCCCTCCCCTCTCCCTCTTTTTCTAGTCTACTGGTCTCCCTTTATTTTCGGGAGAAACTCCCACCTTCCCCTCATTCACTTTTTTCTGTCTTCACATATAAGCCAAAGTGTATGGTCCTTGGCTTTATGTGTTTGGCTTATTTCAGTTAGCATGATATTCTCCATTTTCTTTGGCTTTCTGTGGGGAGTGTTGCTAGGAGATGCTTCTGTAGCAGGTAAATTAGTCCTGAGATTTCCCCAAGCCAAGACATAATATTGTTGTAAACCCTGTTGCATCACTAAGTTTTATGGAGCACTCATGGGGCCATTGGGTCCTGCTCCACATTAATCTGTGGTGGCCCCAAGGGTTATATTTTCTTTTCCTAAATGTATTTCCTTATTAATGGTCTAATAGCCAACTATGAACAAAGGAAAAAAGCATGTGTTGATGAATCTTAGGTTTGTATTTTCAACTTGTGTCCTAGACTCTACATTTCTTTATTATAGGCAAATCGACAGATTTCCAACTACAGTTCAGCCAGAATGTCTACTCCAGCTGACAAAGTCTTACGGAAATTTGAAAATAAAATTAATCTAGGTGAGTTAATAAAATACCTTACCTTACTGGACTGTGAGGAAATTCATAAAGTATTATGCAGTCTTATTGAAATGAACATATTCAAGTGTTGCTAATTCAATAACACTACTTAAAATCAAAACATGTTAGTGATTTGAAGTCATGACTTTCTACTTTTTTAGTTTCGTTGTGGGAATATGAAGTTCTTGTGTGTTCTGTGTTAGACTTTGTAGTACGATCATCTCATAGTAGCATATTGAAAATACCATTTTGTTTTACTACAGTTTTTATGAAAGAGTTAATTATTAAGTTGGTGAATGCAAGGAACCAATGCTGATTTGAACTACCACTTCTTTGTGTGCTCAGGGGATTGGTTGCTGGGGATTAAACCCAGGGTTGCCCTACCTCTGAGCTACATCCCCGGCTATTTTTTATTTTATTTTTGAGACAGAGTCTCAGTAAGTTGTTTAGTCTGGCCTCAAACTTTCGAACCTCTTGTCTTACCTGCTGAATGGCTGGGATTACGGACATGCGCCACCAAACCCAGCATCTTTCTCCTCTTGTAGATCCTTGACTCTTTAAAAACATATAACATGGTATCTCTCCTATAAATTCAATAAATGCTGAATCAATGAATATGAATATTAAAGGATCCTCATCACCATCAAGAACCTATAACTTTCTGGGGCGTAGTTTTGCATGCCTGTAATCCCAGAGGCTCGGGAGGCTGAGGCAGGAGAAAAAGTTTTTTAGAATTAAACTTGGAATTGTGGCAGTTATATTATCTATAATGTGCAAAAATATTAATAAATGTCTGGAATTTAATATGCAAATACAGTATTTTTGAAGTATTTCTATATTTAGAATTTTATAGAATTCTGTCTCAAAAACTAGCTATTGTGATAAAAGTGACAATGCTTATTATACAAGAAATAGTTTACTTTTGAAGACATTATATATTCTCGAAGTCTTTAAAATTTTAACATTAAATGTAATGTTGTTTAAAGACATTACATTTTTTTTTCATTGTGTAGATCTAAGATCCTAACTATAATAAAATATTTAGAAAACAGAAGAGAAGGAAAAGAAATCTCTTATTCAGAGATTCTCTGATTAATGTCTTTTCCTCTTACATATTGTTTACATTATGGCTTTTTTGTATTTTTAGATAAGCTAAATGTTACTGATTCTGTCATAAATAAAGTCACCGAAAAATCTAGACAAAAGGAAGCAGATATGTAAGTAGTATTTTAATTATAAAATACGGGTGATAGGGAGAGATTCCAGATTAAGTAAAATAATTATTTTGCAAAGGATATTAAATTATATCCTTTTTTATCTCTGGCATAAATAAGGGTAGCCTATACCTTTGTAAATTGAAAATATCAAATGAGTCTTAAGAAATACATGGTAAATCTGTAATCTTGTGAAATTCACAAATGTACTCTCTTGAGGATAACAGTTTGAGAATAAATGTGTAAAAATGTTCCCTTTTTAGAATTTATTGAAAATTGTTTCCTTCCATGAAGTAATTTTAAAAATCCAAGGGAAGATTAAAAACAAAATCATGATATAATTGAGAACTATTATGGTTTGCACTTTTGTTCTCAAAGTCAATTAATTGTTTAAGCTCTATCTCTAATACAATCACTGATATGGGAAATAACTGATCTGTTACAACTAGCAATGTTAGAACTGAACTTAAAACCCCATTTTCCTGTGATATATTGCTTTAACCAAAAGGTGTCAGCTTTTTTGAGAGCCACTGTAGTTTTAACCTATTATTTCACCATCATGACTCTATTTGAATCTTTATTAGTGTGGATTAGTGTTCTTGGCTGAGTTATTTAATATATGAGTTGAAACAAAATCAGGCTGCATTTGAAGACTATCTTGAAATGGAAAGATCTTGTGGCTTTGTAAAAAGATGTCTCTAAAGAGAAAACCTTATAAATAAAAGACTTAATTCTGTACTGTTCTAATTCAGAATTTGAAAGATAGTGTACTCTGTGTTTTGTCACTTTATATCTTAATCCAACTGCTCTTTTATTTCATGCTTCTGTATCACGGGGATTCTTTTTCATACTGCATATGTACTGCCCTTGCGTATTGAATCCCACATTTAGGAAAATAAAGGAAGTTTCTCTGAGTGAAGAATCTGCAATGAAATTTACCTAAAATCTCTTATGAGAAAAACTTAAGAATTTTCACAAAATGATGCACATACATTTAAAATCTTTATTTTGGCTTCTTTCACAGAATTTTGAGTGTATCAACTGTTCTTTTTTTGTTTTCCATAGGTATCGCATCAAAGATAAAGCAGACAGAGCAACTGTAGAACAGGTATAATTTAAATGTGTTGCAAGCTCTTTTTTAAAAAACCTTTCTTTCCTCTTTGAATTATAGTTTGCTTTCATCCTTCTTGCTTAATACTAATGTTACCTAAAATTACTCTCTTTATAGTTTTGAGATTGACATTTCGCTTTACAATAGGACCATTAGAGTCATCCTGCTGTGGCCTTGTGAAGCCACCATGTGATATTTTCCCCTTCTTAGAAATGAATTATCAGACTCTAGTTATCTATGTATAGGAATTTTATGAACTTTTCCTAGCAAATAGGTTGATTATCTGCCACAGAGCTAGGGGCATATGTGTGTGTGTGAGTGCAACTGTGCTTGTGTGGAGAAAGAAAGAGAGGTAATGCTTTCAAATTCTCATTAAAAATCTTTTTCTTTGATTAGAAATTATGTGTGTGTTATTCTTTCTTTGCAAGAAGGGAGGAAAATTAACCTCTAGCTTTCCCATATGCAGAGGGATATGATTGCATGTTAGTATTGGCCTATGCTTTCAATAAGAAATAAGTGATAAAAAGGACCAAAACGGGCTGGGGATGTGGCTCAAGCGGTAGTGCGCTCACCTGGCATGTGTGCGGCTCGGGTTCAATCCTCAGCACCACATACAAACAAAGATGTTGTGTCCGCCGAGAACTAAAAAATAAATATTAAAATTCTCTCTCTCTCTCTTTAAAAAAAAAACAAAACAAAAAGGACCAAAACATTGCTATTATTACCACCTTCCCGCCCCTCTCCATCCATACACAAATAGATTTTAGAATGGAAGTCTCTTTGCCCTCCAGGCTTGGTTTAAGACATATGCACCCCCTCCCATCATGCACATCAACCCCCAGGAGAGTAGCACCTCTCCTGTTGATTCTGAGATCCAGAACCATTTGTGCAATCAAATAATTCCACCATTGGGAGGGAACAGGGTCTGGGTCTCTGTCTTCATTGACCTCTGGTTTATTATGTGTGATTTGTATTTGTATTTAAAAACAAAGTATGGTCCAGCTCAGAGAGGTAAGGCAGGCTTAATTTTCAAAGACTGTAAAATAACTTAGAAAATCTTTTGCTTTTTTTCTTTCAAAATTAATTTTGAATGGTGGAGTATATAGCTTGAGTCTTAATTTGTCTTTTTTCTTATTTATTTATTTTTTTTGTTTCATGAGCCATTTGGTGTGTTGCTCCTTCCTTCCTGTGTCCCTTGTCTACCTACTAATTTTGCAGGTCTCATTTAGATTCCTATATACAGCCAGTTTTTCCCTTTTCGTCTTTACCTGTGCAATAGAGAAAGAATGGAAATTAGTGCTCTTCACTTCTTCCCTGTCACTCTTCTGTCGGTTATAATGGTTGCATTTAGTCCTATGGTCTTCCAAGGTTGTGTTTTTTATATTAACCTTAAGTTTCTGGTGTGACCCCAGTCGCCTCATTAAAGTTTTGACCCTTAGACGTAGTTAGTGACGTTTGGCCAGTTTATACTCTCTCTCTGGCACTGAAAGGTCTGTTTGAGCCATAAGGACCCCTTGCTGGTGTCCCTTGACACTGTATAAACATATTGGGCTGCATCAGTGTCATAGATGGACAAAAACAGGCTGTAAATTCCTTACCGTCTGTTTGTTTAAGAGGACTTTAAAATTCGTTTTCAACAAGACTGACTGTTCTGAGTCTGAAGGAGACCTTTACCCTGATTTACACAGTCTGCAGGGGTCTTCAGACTCTTAAAGGGCCAGTAAATACTGTAGGTAGCGCAGGTCACTTATAGTATATATTGAATTGCCTTTAAAAGCAGCGCTTAAAAATGTAAAGACCATTTTTAGCTTTCAGGCTGTAGAAAAACAAGCTTTAGACAAGATTTGGCCCATAGGGCCTAGGATGCTGACCCCTGGTTTAGTATATGTGCTATGAAGTGAGCACTCCCCCTGGTTTAAAGTTGTCTTCCAATGTATACTGGATTTTGAAGTCTTATTGTAAGAAAAAGAATATTAAATATCTTAATGACTTTTTATATTGATTACATATTTAAATGGTAGTGTTTTAGATAATATTGGGTTAAATAAGATGTATTAAAATAATTTCACCTTTTTACTTTTAGTGTGTAGTGACTAGAAAATTTTAAATTAGGTGATTTGCATTGCATTTCTCTTAGCTAATGTTGGTCTAGAGTCCATATTTTTTCCTCTCAGACTTGTTGGCTTTGGTTTCCATGACTTGATGGACTTCTTGGTTAGCTGCCTCTGGTTTGTTTTGCTGTCACCTCACTTTTCATATATAAATGACTAAAAATCAAAGTGAATTAAAATCCCATGATAGTGATTCTCCTTCACTTAGTCAGTCAGGATAACCTGGCTCTTCTGTTTATTCTCACATGTGTTAATGAGGAAGATTTGGAACCATCTTTCTAGATTTTGTGTTTTTTTGCATTTCTTTTTAGGTTTTGGATCCCAGAACAAGAATGATTTTATTCAAGATGTTGACTAGAGGAATCATATCAGAGATAAATGGCTGCATTAGCACAGGAAAAGAAGTGAGCTTTTCTTTGGATCACTGAATATTTTCATGTTAGTTTTCTTATTTCAAATAACAATGAAACTTTGGCACTTAATATGTGAATTGTGCCTTTAAAAAGAAAGGAAAAGGGGGCTGGAGGTGTAACTCAGTGGTAGAGTGCATGCCTAGCTTGTAGAAGGCCCTGGATTTGAACACAAAACACTGGTGGGGAAAAAGAAAGAAAAAAGGGTTAGGATAGTTTAATATAAATGTTTCTGAAACTGGCTTTATTAGTAGTTATGGCTAAAAAGGAAATTGTATATGAAACTCTTTTCTCACTATAATTGCTATATTTTATCTTTCAATCTAGTTGTGCCCAGCAGTTTAGATGATCATATTATTGTGATATCCTGAGTATTAATTTAAAAATTGCTAATAGGAACTGGGTGTGGTGGTACATGCCTGTAATCCTAGGTGCTTGAGAAGGGGAGGCTGGAGGATTACAAGTTCAAAGCCAGCCTCAGCCACTTGGCTAGGCACTAAGCAACTTAGTAAGAACCTACCTCAAAATAAAAAATAAAAAAGGCTGGGGATGTGGTTTAGTGATTAAATGCCTCTGGGTTCAATCCTGGTTACCTACCCAGCCCCAATAAATTGCTAATAGAGATAGGGGCTTATAGTCTCATTTCAATGAGTTACTCGTTCTCATTATTTTCTTTATATATGTACATCAAAAAAGATAAACATGGTGTTTTTCAATTAGCAACTCATTGTGTGGGAATTACTAGTTGCAAGAATATCTCTTAATATTTTTCACATACTTGAGACTTAAAATTGTGAAATAATTTCTCACATATATTTAAATTGGATTTTACTGTGTACATAGTTATTAGCCACTTAACAGTGGGATATATTCTGAGAAATGTGGTGGTGCGAGAACTTTGTAGAGTGTACGGTATAAAACTAAGACAGCCATGACATCAGTAGGTAACAATCCATTTTGGGACCACTGAGGCATATGCAGCCTGGTGTTGACTAAATTTTTAATGTGGTATGTCACTGTATCTAGGAGATTTATGATGTTTCATGTTTTAATTCACATCTTTCTTGTGCATGTTATTTCACTTGACTTTTGAGGTTAGAGTCAAATAGATTGGAAAAGTAAAACACAGTAGTTATTTAACACTTTTTTGTTTTTGTTTTTGACTTTAAATAGGCCAATGTATACCATGCTAGCACAATAAATGGGGAAAGCAGAGCAATCAAGATTTATAAAACTTCTATCTTGGTGTTTAAAGATCGGGATAAGTATGTAAGCGGGGAATTCAGGTGAGCTTAAATTTATTTTCCCCAGTTTCTTTAATTTCTGGTTTTTAAAATATTGAAACAGAATAATGGAATGATTGAAATAACCAATAGTTTTTTTCCTCAAGATTTCGTCGTGGCTATTGTAAAGGAAACCCTAGGAAAATGGTGAAAACATGGGCAGAAAAAGAAATGAGGAACTTAATCAGGTAACTGGGATGTGTGTGTCAGCCTTTCTGCCAGCAGGTCTCAGTGTGGTTCTCCCCAAAGCAAAAGAAACAGATTTCTGGACAAATAGCAATTACCTGTTGTGTATTCTAAGAATGGGTTGAAGAAGCATTCTGCCACAGTTCATATTCATTTATCAAAGCTAATCATTTGAAGAGCCTTGAGATCCTTCTGCCTCAGCCTCCTGAGCCACTGGGATTACAGGCATGCGCCACCACACCCTGCTTGAAGAGCCTTGTAAGCTATATGAAAGCAATTAGAATTTGTACAAAGGAAGACAAAAGAGTTGTTACAGGATTTTAAACAGGGAAGTGACATAGTTGGTGATGATAATGTGTTCTCCTTAATAAGTTATTGATGTTTTAACAAATCTTGTGAAGTTCTCAACTATGTATCTGTTTCCTTTTTTGATTTTGTTCCAATTTTGGACACATTAACATAGTCTTTATTTTTTTGGTTTGTTTTTGAGACAAGTTCTCACTATTTAGCCCAAGGTGATCTGTCTCCTAGTTAAAGTAGTCCTATTCCTCAGTTTCCAGGTAGCTGGGATATAGGTATGTGCTATCTTGCCCAGCTTTTATATTCTTTGTTTGCATTAATGAAGATAAAGAAATAGCACATAACTGAAATCACTAGGTAACAATCCATTTTGGGACCACTGAGGCAAATTTTGAAAAATTTCCCCCCTCTTTCTTTTCCAATGTCTTTTAACTTTTTATATGCTATATAAAGGTATTATACATTGGAAAATTTAAACATGTACTATTTGTTTTTGAAAGTCCTGTAATCTTCTTGTGTTCAACTAGCTCTTAGGTGAGAATCTAATGATTTATATTAAAGATTTTTAAACATTTTTTAAATATTTAATTTTTAGTTGTAGGTGGACACAATGTCTTTATTTCATTTTTTTTTTTTAAATGTGCTGAGATTTGAACCCAGTGTCTCACCTGTGCTAGGCTAGTACTCTCTCACTGAGCCACAACCCCAGCCCTGTATTAAACATTTTTAGGCTGATCAGTTAAAAAGACAAATATAGATTTCTCTAATATATTTCATCAATTCTAAGTCTATAGGATATAACCGTTTAGTTGTCAGAGTTTTGTTGTTCTTGGTGGTACATAATGGTGCTACTTAAAATCATTGCTGTCTTAGAGTTTATGAAATACAGTTCTGAGGTCTGGATGTTATTTCCCAGCAGCAGTATTGATATTGTAGACTATAGCTGTTGTAGTTTGTTTAGATGCCTTTTCAGTTTTTCAGTTTACATTTTTCTTGTTACAATGTCACAGGTTAAACACAGCAGAGATACCATGTCCAGAACCAATAATGCTAAGAAGTCATGTTCTTGTTATGGGTTTCATTGGTAAAGACGATATGTAAGTATACAGAAGGCCTTAGAATTTTATACCCAGAACTGTATTTTTTAAAATGCTTTAAATCATACAGAATATGAATATTTTCCATTTGAATAGTTCTTTCCTGAATCCTTTTCACTGTGTTAGGCATATGTGTTACCAGCTTACCTTTTGAAGTCTGAAGATGCTTCAGAAGAACAACGTTAACTTGTTTTTGAGGGATGTTTTATTCAGTGCATGGGAAAAATATCTTTGGAGTGGAATATTTGTAGTGAGACTAACTGTCCCATGTACAATTCACATGATGAGTTGTAGAGAAGTATCAGTGTAATGTGAAGCAGGATATCTTAGTCTTGGTCATTTATCTTTGTTCATTTTATTTTTATCTGAGGCCTGCACCACTCTTGAAAAATGTCCAGTTATCAGAATCTAAGGCTCGGGAGTTGTATCTGCAGGTTATTCAATACATGAGAAGAATGTATCAGGATGCCAGACTTGTCCATGCAGATCTCAGTGAATTTAACATGCTGTGAGTATGTTTTGTCTCTTAGGACAACCCCCCACCCCCACCCCCGCCAAAGTCATTTCATGTTCTTTGAAACAATAGACAAAGCCCAATCCCAGAAGTCATACTGAATTATAAAGTTGTAAAGTTGGCTTTCACGTGGTAACAGTTACCATGTTGTCCTGCCTTCAGTGGCCTTAGTCACAGAACCAGATCATTTTAGAGTTAATGGGCTTTGGAAATTTTCTGTTTTTCTCTCTCGTTACTCAAGCCCCTTCTTATCTATCTTGATTATTTTATGAATGATTTCCCTTACTCTTAAGAACAGAATTTTTTAAAAAATATTTTTTAGTTGCTGATAGATCTTTATTTTTTAATACGTGGTGCTGAGAATTGAACCCAGTGCCTCACACATATCAGGCACGTGCTCTACCACTGAGCCCCAGCCCCAGCCCCAAGAACAGAATTATTAAAACAGAAAATAGTTAAGTAGTAGTACCCCAGAGCTGCTGTATCTCTGGCCCACAAGGTACCATGGTGGAGATGTGTACATCATTGATGTTTCTCAGTCTGTGGAGCATGACCACCCACATGCCTTGGAGTTCTTGAGGAAAGACTGTGCCAATGTCAATGGTGAGTAGAAAGGGTAATTTGTGTGTGTGTGTGTATGTTTTGTACTTGAACTGGTGGCATAAAATCTTGTTCATTGCAGTGATATGTAAACCATTTGCTGAGAGACAGTAGATTTTTTTTATCCTTGTTTCTCTATACAGTAGTTGGGTTTGATAACTTCCCTTATATGTCTATCATTAACATTTTTCCTTCCAACAGATTTCTTTTTGAAGCATGCCGTTGCTATCATGACTGTGCGGGAGCTCTTTGAATTTATCACAGACCCTTCCATTACACCTGAGAATATGGATGATTATCTCTCAAAGGTAAACTGGGGTGAGAAGGGGGAAAAGTTGAAAATAGCAGTAGTAATTTACATTTGTATGACACTTCTGAGGAACTTGGATTACTAAGTATAATTTATTCATTTTGACGGCCTCCTGACTTCCCAGATTGGGAATTAAAAACATAGCAAAACACCCAATGGTAAATTCAAGTTTCTTGACTCTAATTGTTTGACAGGATTACATAGATTATCAGCCTTCTTGAGTAGTTAGTAAGAAACCTGTTAGGTTTTTTGTCATTGATACTTTTCCATTATTTCTGAAAGACCTTTCTGAATCTTAGAATTATTTAAAATTATAATAAGGTACACATAAAGTTTACTATTTTAGCCACTTTTAAGTGTAGATTTCAGTGGCATTAACTGCATACATATATATCATTGTGCAGATGTTGCCATCCATCTTCAGAACTTTTTTATCCACAAACAATTCTCCTGCTTCTAGCAGCCACCATTCTGCTTCTTGTCTTGTGACTTTTGGCTGCTTTTGTAAAATCATAAGATGCTTGTCTTCCTGTGACTAGTTTATTTAACTTAGCATAGTGTCCTTCAGATTCATCCATGTTGTAGCATATGACAGGATTTCTTTCCCTGTGAAGGTACATCAAATTTTTTATATCTATTCATCTGTCTTGAGTTGCTTCCACCTTTTGGCTATTTGTGAATATTGCTGCTGTGAACATGAGTATACAAATATGTCTTCAAGACCCTGCTTTTTCCCAGGTCTGGTGACTCATGCCTGTAATGCCAGGGGCTGAGAAGGCTGAAGCAGGAGGATTGTGAGTTCAAAGCTAGCCTCAGCAAAAGCAAGGCACTAAGCAACTCAGTGAGACCCTGTTTCTAAATAAAATACAAAGTAGGGCTGGGGATGTGGCTCAGTGGTCAAGTGCCCCTGAGTTCAGTCCCTGGAAGACACACACACAAAAGACTGTGCTTTTCATTCTTGTGTACGCATAGCCACAAGTAGAATTTCTAGATTTTATGATAATTTTATTTTTAAGTTTTCAGGGAACAGCCATACTTTTTTACTGTAGCAACGGTACTTGTTTTGCCTTTCCACCAAGAGTGTACAGGTCCCAGTTTCTCTACATCCTCACCAACACTTATTATTTTTTTACTCTTTTGGTAGTAGCTATCCAAATGGATGTGAAATGGCATCTCAGGATTGTTTTGGATTACATTTCCCTAATGATTAGTGATGTTGCACATCTTTTCATATGTTTGTTGCCCATTTGTTTATCTTCTTTGGAAAAATGTCTATTCAAGTTCTTTGCCCACTTTTTGCTGGTGAGTTGTAAAGGTGGTGTTTTACATTCTGGTTTTTGCAGATATTTTTCCCATTCCATGGGTTGCCTTTTCACTTAATTGCATCCTTCGATACACAGGAGTTTTTAATTTTGATGTGATCCAGTTGGTTTTTATTTTTGTTACGTTAAATCACAGGATTTTGAATACATGGCACATATATCCCTACACAGGTTTTCAGGTTTGATCCTACTTTCTCACATCCTCCTCTTCCCCAGGGTGCCTTCTCATTGTTCCCTTTGCTCACCTTGTTCTGCCTAGTTCAGGATGCTTTCTGGTGCAGAAATTCAGTAGAAATCATTGTTTTCATAGGTATATTTTCATATTATGTGACTGTAATAGAAGTAGTCACTGCTTTACTTCTTCCTATACTATTTTTTTTCTTTTTAATTCTTTCACCCTCTACGAGATTATAAACTCTTAAGGTACAGGAGTTTTATTTGTATATTTCCAGCACCAGATGGGTACATGACACACAGTAGGTGACCACATATGTTAATTGAATAAATAACTTATCACATTTTTATTCTTAAATTCTTTAATTCAATACTGATTTTAGTGTCTGTACTTTAAAAAAAAAAAAAAAAGAAAGAAAAGAAAATCATACTGCCATGGTGAGAATCTGAGAATAGATCTTTAGTTTTATAAGCCAAGAACCTTATAGCATCTTTATCACCTTAGTTTCAGCAGTTGTTTGCTCAAAGAGCTTTCTTTGGTGGCTATACTACAGCATCATGTTTAGCCATATTGCAGCTTTCTTGTATGACAGACTTCTCCAGAACTAAGGAATGATTCCTTTTTTTTTTCTTTTCTTTTTTTTTTGGGGGGGGGGTGGCTGTGTTACCCATTCTGGCCTTGCTACTGGACTCAAGATACTCTCCTGCCTTGCCTCCTGAGTAGCCTGCCACCGTACCCAGCTGGTTCTTTCATTCTTTAGGTTTCAGTTTTCCTGTAGTAAATATTTTTGCTACTCAAAAATTATTACAAGTAGTAGTCCTTTTGCTTTTGTTTTTTTGCAGTGCTGGGGATGTAGCCTGAGGCTTCATGCATGCTAAACTAGTACACTACACCCAAGCTACAACCCCACCCCCCATTAGTATTACTTTTGAAGAAGAGGATTTAGGGATTCTCTAAAGCTAGGAGAGTATATTCTGTTTCTTTGAGGGTTGATGACAACTTTTTTAGTGTCTGTGGTAGAGAGAGAGCCTGCACCATTAGGTCACTAAGCACTTTGATAACTGTGGACAGGTAACACCTATAAAGATCAGAACAAGTTTTTACTAAATCAGAAATAGCCAAACTTGGTAGTGCACAGCTGTAATGCCAGTGACTTGAGAGGCTAAAGCAGAAGGATGACAAGTTTGAAGGCAGCCTTGGTAATTTATTGAGACCCTAGCTCTAAAAACTTTTTAAGAAGAGCTGGGAATGTGGCTCCCAACTCTGAGCACCCCTGAGTTTAATCTTCAACACCACCAAACACAAAAACAAATCCCCCATAGAAATGGATGCATTGTCTCTAGGTTGAACGTAAAGAAAAATTATTTTTGTTTTCTTTCAAAGGCCATGGAAGTAGCGTCTCAAAGGACCAAGGAAGAAAGGTCTAACCAAGATCATGTGGATGAAGAGGTAGGACTTATTATATGTTAATAGCATTAGGAAATTCTTGTATTTTGAGGGTTTTTTGTTTGTTTGTTTGTTTTTGTAGGAGGCATGTATTTTGTTTTGTTTTTTAATCAACTTGATTTTTTCTTTTTCTTTTCTTTTTGTGGCAATAGGAAATTAAACACAGGGGTGCTCTACCATTGAGCTATATCCCCAGTCTTTTTGATTTTTTTATTCATTTTGAGACAGATTCTCACTAAATTGAGGACTTGTGATCACAACTTGGACTTGTGATCCTCCTGCCTCATCCTCTCAACTCTCTGAGATTAAAGCCTGGCCAATCATGAACTTGATTTTAGTGTCCACTCTTTTGTTGTTGTTCTGGGTATTGAACCCAGGAATGAACATGGTTTTAATAGATACATGGCACATAATTCAGCTGAACTGAGTCTTATAATTTATATTGCATTATATTGTTCCACTTGACAACCTATGTTATTAGCTCGTTGTCTTAGGTGGAGAAAACTTTTTGAAGTAAAAGTCTGTTTTTAGTTTGCAAATATAAATTTTTAAGTGACTTAAATATTAATTTCATAAATACTATAAATTTTAAATATTTATGATAAAAATTATTTTAGTCTAGGAAGTCAGGATATTTTTTCTTTTGTTATACTTCTCTATTTGTTAATGAAAATCACTTCACCAACACCCATTAAAAATAGGCTCCCCCCCCCCAAAAAAAAAAGCAAATGTTTTTTCAAGGAGGATACATAGGTGGCAAACAAAACAATACATGCCCAATATAATGAGATATCAGAAACATGCAATTAAAACTACAGTACAGTATTTCTGATTTCTAAACCAATTATGGTTCACTGCTGGCTCCAGTCATGATTGGTGTCAGGGCACATGGCTTTTTGTAAAGCCCTGTGAACATTTTCTACTCTGCATGCTGGGTATTATAAAGTGACATCCTCTGGGAACAATAGAGCAGATTTTAATTCCATTCACCCAATCATAGAAACTTGTCCTAACAGCTGGCCTCTCCTCAGGATGACTTAAAGTCTCATAGAAAAGTGTGAGTATCCAAGCCACAAATCAAGGCAGAATCCCTGCATTGTTTTTCGTGTTGTCTTGGACAGCAATAAAAATCAGATCAGAATTGAAATGAGAACTCATTTTACTGTCCTTGAAGAGGCACACAAAGTTGGTACACCCATGAAAGCTATCCATCCTTTCAGATAAATAGTGTTTTCTGGCCTCCCCACATAGTAAGCTAAACCTGAAGATTAAAGGTAGCTTTAACAATAAGGTATGTATTAGCACACAATCAAGAACAATTCGAGGCAGGCAGTTACCAGTTGGTGTTCAGAAGGCTGGAAAAATTAACCCAACTGTCATGTGAGACTGATGAGACAACTTCTCCATGAAGAAAGTAAGTCATTCCTGGAAGCCTCCAGCAGACTGCAGAGTAGGTTATATGAATGCTTTAATTAGTCAGAAAAGGAAAAGAATTCTCTTTGAAAGGCCAGATTATTTGACTTCCTCCAGGGAGTAAGCATTGTGCATGGTGGTAGAGGAAGATCTCTTCTACCAGAGAAACCAGACCCCAGTCAGTCTTGAGTGTGCATGGCAGCTCCTGTAAAGCCTCACCCATGTCTGAACACATGGCATCTCACCATCTCGCCAGTGGGTGTTAGGAAGTATGATGTTTAACTGTAGGCAGATGGTTCCTTCACAAAGCCTCTCTGAAAAAGAGGGCATTCCGTACAGGTCGAAGGCCTTTATCAAGTGTGGACTTTCAGGAGTTGTTGAACCTTGAGCTGAAGACTTCTCTATATTTATTGCTTTCATGAGGCCCCTTCATGACATTTTTGGTGGTGAATGAGGCTGGAGCATTGGCTAAAGGAATTCCCACTTGTGTCACATCCTGAGGCCTAATTCTTGCGGGTCTTAATGTGATAGTTGAATATGAGGTACCCTCTCTTCAGCAGTTCTAAACCTGTTTTCACTGTAGAAGCTGGGTAGGTGATCTTCCATGTAAGAACATGTTCCTTTGTAAGGCACAGCCAGGTAGTGCTTCTAACTGTAGTTCATCCCTTTCCTTCCTACTCAGAAGAGCTGTTTGGGATGCAACAAGAGAAATGTTATTTGAAGGATAACCTTGAATCAGCTATAATTCTTCCTTAAGATAAATCATGCAAACAGTAGTGTTTTTTCATTAGTAACAAATTTTGGCACATCACATGGCAGATGCAACACCAGTGTTTTTTTTAAAGAGAGAGAGAGAATTTTAATATTTATTTTTTTATTTTTTGACGGACACAACATCTTTGTATGTGGTGCTGAAGATCGAACCCAGGCCGCACGCATGCCAGGCGAGTGCTCTACCGCTTGAGCCACATCCCCAGCCCAACACCAGTGTTTTTAGACAGCATGTCTGAGAATAGATTCCTCCATGACTTGATGGTGATAAGGATGCTGAGTGAATGTGAAAAGTATATGAATAATAGTTTCTATTTTGCTTATCTCCTCTCTTAGGTGTTCAAGCGAGCATATATTCCTAGAACCTTGAATGAAGTAAAAAATTATGAGAGGGATATGGATATAATGATGAAGCTGAAGGAAGAGGACATGGCCATGAACGCTCAACAGGACAATGTGAGCAGTGTGGTTTGTGTATAGCAAGTAGGTCTAAAGCAGGTCTAAAGAAGAAGGGGACTATCCCAAATAGATTGAGTTCCTCTAATCTTGAATGTTTTTGAACATGTCTTCTCTACATATTGGATATAAAGGGAATTTGATTGATATTTGAGAGGGAGTGACACTTTTGAATGAGTCCAACAGATTATAATTAGAAAAAAAAGAATCATATAGAAGTCTAGGCTATGAAAGGTTATTAGATCATTAACATATATATTTCCTTAACATATTTTAGAAAAATTTTTTTACTGAAGAATCAAAATAGTAAATATTTTAAGTTTTGCCAGCTAAGAAGCAAAATATATGTAGGTCTTTTTATAACAAGGGAAAATAAATGGTCCCCGGATTTTTATTTGTGATATTAAAAACACTTTAATAAGAATTAAATCCAGCTTTTTTTAACTATAGATCTACTAATGAAAGAAGAATGGAATTGAGGGGAAAAGATAACATTTCACTTAATGGGGTTCAAATCAAAGTTAGTATTTGCTGTTGTCAGGTTGATTGCAAATATTTATCTCTCACAACTACCAGATAACTGGTTGGATTTGACCTCTGGGCTTGAGATACCTGGTGGATAAGAATATTACCCATGTTACTCATGTAATAAACTTTCTGTGTTGCTATGAGGTAAATTTTAAGTACTTTTTTATTATCACAAAAGATACCATTTAGTCCATGGTGTTTAGTAGGGCAATATGTGTGTGTGTGTGTATATATATATATATATATATATATCACTGTCTAGTTTTATGTTGATTCCTTTTTTTTATTCCTTTTGGTTGTAAGATTCTATATCAAACTGTCACTGGATTGAAGAAAGATTTGTCAGGAGTTCAGAAGGTATGGAGAACATATGTTACTGTTTGTTTTTGTGAAAAATCTTTTAAAGGATATAAAACTTAAAGTAATATAAAAACTTTTAAAATGGCCTATTTAATGAAATAATTTTCGTCTGTAGACATTTTCAGAAATGATTTTTTTTTGTGATATTTATAACCGTAATACTAAAATTTGGATATTTTAAATATTTTCATTCTCTCCTTAAATTGTTTTGTTGTTCTAGGAGAAGCATTTATCTTTTTTTTGTATCCTGTTCTTCATTTGTGAGGTTATTAATGATAGCCAAATGCTTCTGGATATTTTTTACAGTAACTTAAAAAACTGTGGAAAGTGTTTATAAGTATGTAATTTGCTGAAGAGCAGTCTCATGAGTTCAGCAGGCTTATTGTGCTGGATTCCTGTAGTGCTCTTTTTATTTTGCATTTTCGAAGGGTAGGGATTAAGTAATACTAATTTAGAGAGTAATAAAGGCAGGGATTTGTTTGTTTTCTAATATTGGGGATTGAGCCCATGGGTGCTTAAGCACTGAGCTGCATTCTGAGGCCTTTTGGTGTTTTTATTTTTAGACAGGGTCTCATTGAGTTGCTCAGACTGGTCTTGACTCTGTCCCCTCCGCCCCCCCATTTCCTTACATAAAGACTTCAGTGGAAGGATCATAGTGCACTTTTTGAAAATTGATTGTCCTGTGAGAAGAATCGAATTGGAGGAATTCCAGTATTTTCTGTTTCCGAGATAAATGTACCAGATGCTATGGGAAAGTTGTATTTTAAATTCCAAAGCATGAAGATTTTGCTTGATAAAACTTGCTAAAAAATCTTTTTGTATGATTACCTTTTGATAAAGGAAACCTTGCTCTTTTGGGAGCGGGTGGTAATGGGATTAAGCCCAGGATACTCTACCACTGAGCTACATCCCCAGCCCTTATTATTTGTTTTAATTTTTGAGATAGGGTCTCACTAAGTTGCTTAGGACCTCGCTAAATTGCTGAAGCTGGCCTTGAATTTTGAATTCTCCTGCCCCAGCCTCCAAATTGCTGGGATTGTGTCAGGATACTTGGCAAAAAACCTCACTCTTAAAAATTGCTCCCTATTAGAGAAAGAGAAAAAAAAACAAAATAATAAAACTAGAGTTGATAAAGGAGAAATAACCACAGACATCACAGAAATCCAGCAGATCATTAGGTACTATTTTTGAAAACTCATACTCTAATTAATTGGAAAACGATACATTTCCAGATAAATACAGTCTGCCAAAACTGAATCGAGAGGACATAGAAAACCTGAATAACCCAGTAACTTGTAATGAGATAGGAGCAGTAATTAAAAACCTTCCAACAAAGAAAATCCCAGAACCAGATGGATTCTCAGCTGAATTCTACCAAACCTTTAAAGAAGAATTAATGCCAGTATGCCTCAGATTATTCCGTGAAACATTAGGGAATGGAACACTTTCAAATTCATTTTATGAAGGCACTATCACACTCATACCAAAACCATATAAAGATACATCAAGGAAAAAAAAAATCTATAGACCGATAACTTAATCAGATATTACCAAATCTCATTCAACAGCATATTAAAAAGATTGTACACCATGACCAAGTTGGTTTTACTCTAGAGATAGAAGGATGGTTTAATATACACAAATCAATAAACGTAATTCATCACATAACTAATTCTTAGTTATCTCAATAGATGCAGAGGCCTTTGACAAAATTCAGCATCCATTCATGATAAAAACATTGAAAAAATCAGGGATAGAACCTACCTAAACATCATAAAGGCTATATATGGAAAAACTCAAAGGCCAGCCTCATAGTAAGTAGGAAAAAACTGAAAACATTTTCTTTAAAATCTGCGACAATACAAGGATGTCTACTCTTACCAGTTCTATTTAATATGGTGCTGGAAATTCTAGCCAGAGCAATTAGGCAAAAGAAGAACATAAAAGTAATAAAGATAGGAAAGGATGAAGTCAAATTATCACTGTTGGCAGATAATATGTTATTCTATACCTAGAAGATTCAGAAAATTTTGATGTAGTTAATAAACAAATTTGGCAAAGTAGGAGGTTAGAAAATCAACATATAAAAATCAATAGATTTCTTATTAAAACAAATCTGTTGAGAAAGAAGTCAGGAAAAAAATCCATTCACAATAGCCTCAAAAAGAAAAGGGGGGGGGGATAAATTTAGGCAAGGGGGTGAAAGTCCTCTACAATGAAAACTATAGAACATTGAAGGAGGAAATTCAGGACCTCAGAAGATGGAAGGACCTCCCATGTTCATGAGTAGGCAGAGTTAATACTGTTAAAAAAACAAAAGCAGTATACAGATTCAATGCAAGCCCCATCAAAATACCAATATCATTCTTCATAGAAGTAGGGAAAAACAGTCTTAAAATTTATTTGGAAGAATAAAAGACCCAGAATAGCCAAAGCAATTCTTTTTTTTTTAAATATTATTTTTAGTTGTAAATGGACACAATACCCTTATTTTATTTATTTATTTTTATGTGGTGCCGGGGATCCAACCCAGTGCCTCACACATGGTAGGCAAGCACTCTCCCACTGAGCCACAACCCCCGCCCTAGCCAAAGCAGTTCTAAGCCAAAAAAGCAGTGCTGGAGGGGTCACAATGTCTGGCTTCTAGTTACACTACAGAGCTAGAGTAACAAAAACTGAATGGTATTGGCAAAAAAACTGACACATAGAACAGTGGTTATAGAAGACACAGACAAACATTGGAATAAAGACAGCCTTTTTAACAAGTGGTGGTGGGACAACTGGTTATCCATATGTAGAAGAATGAAATTTCACTCTGTGCAAAAACCACTTAAAATGGATCAAAGACCTTAGAATTAAACCAGAAACTATTCAACTCCTAGAAAAAAAATGTAGGGTCAACACTCCAACATATAGGCACAGACAGTTACTTAATAGGACCCCTAAAGCTCAGGAAATAATGCCACAATAGTTAATATATGAGATGGCATCAGAGTAAAAAGCTTGTGTACAGCAAAGAAAACAATTAGGAATGTAAAGAGAAAAGCTGTAGAATGGGAGAAAATCTTTGCCAGCTACTGTTCTGACTAGATTAGTATCTAGAATATATAAAGAACTCAAAAACTTCACACCAAAAGAACAAATAACCCAATTAATAAATGGCCAAATGAATTAAACACATGCTTCTCAAAAGAAGAAATACAGATGGCTAACAAATATATGAAAAAATTTTCAATATTATTGGCAATTAGGAAATGCGAATCAAAACTAGACCAAGACTTCATCTCATCAGACTGAATGACAGTCATCAAGAATACAAATAACAATAAATGTTGAAGAGGATGTGGAGGAAAAGGAACACTTTTACACAGTTGGTGGAATTGTAAATTAGTACATCCACTATGGAAATCAGTCAGAGGTTTCTCAAAAGACTTGGCTTATGACCCAGCTATACCACTTAGTATTTATCCTAAAGAATTAAAGTCATCCTACTACAGTGATACCATCCTACTACAGTGATACATGCATACCCAAGTTTATAAGAGCACAATTCACAATAGCCAGAAGAAAATGTGGTATATGTACACAATGGAGTTTTATTCATCCATAAAGAAAAATGAAATTATGTCATTTGCAGGAAAATGGATGGAACTAGATATCATATTAAATACAATAAGTCAAACTCAGAAGGTCAAGGGTTGAGGAGGCTAGAAAGGAAAAAGGAAAAGAAAAATGGGAGTGGATCTCCTGAAAATCAAGGGGAGATCAGGAGAGGAAAAGGGACCACGGAGTGGGAGATGGTGAGGGAATAGGGAAGTGCTGAGGAGGTATGTTGGTCAAATTATATTGTTACATTGTATGTATGAATGAATATGTAACAGCAGATCCCATCTTTATGTGCAACTATAATGCACCAATAAAAAATTGTGGGGGGAAACTCCCCTGCTCCCTGCTGCTTTAAAAATCTGCTAAGCTTGACATGGTGTCACATACCTTATTTCCTAGCTACTTGGGAGGCTGAGGCAGTCACTTGAACCCAGGAGTTGGGGGACCAGTCTAGACAAAGAAGATTGTCTCAAAATCTCAAAAAAAAAATGAAAACTGAAAATAAATAAGTGTGCTAAATTTCAAGGAAAATGAAATTTTCTCTCAGTTTAAAATGTCATTCATATTTTTTAATTTATTGTTAGAAATGTGTTTCATAGAAAAGAAACTGAAGTTATCCAAATAAATCTTTATTTTTGACCCCTGTTCCACATCCTTCCAGATCTCAGCTCAGTGCTGGGGAGGTATGTTGGTCAAATTACATTGTTACGTTGATTTGCTGGAAGCAGCACAGTTCTGCTGTTGATCTAGGTCATCCAGTAAAGCCGTACTGCTTTCACTTGGGTCTTTTCTTGAGCCCAACTGGAATGTCTTCTTCTCTTCTTTCTCCTTCATGTTGATTCTGTGATTTTGATGTTTTAGTACAAGATATTATTTTTTATAATCTATTTGCAAAGCTGAAATCCAAATTCTAACATTAGCAAATTTAATAATAATAATAATAATAAATAAATAAATAAATAAATAATTCTGGTATTAGCATGTTAATTGGCTTTGAATTACATCAATCTGTATTAATTTCAAGGTTCCAGCACTCCTAGAAAATAAAGTTAAAGAGAAGACTTGTTCTGATTCAGAAGATACTGGAAGCTCTGAATGCTCTGATGCAGACTCTGAAGAGGAGGGAGACCGTGCTCACTGCAAAAAGCACCCCACTGACCCCGACATTGATAAGAAGGTTGGCCAAGAACTTTAATTCCCCTTTTCTTCAGTGTGTTAGCACAGCTGCTCTTATTTCTCTTTGTTAAGGATATAGCTAGATTATGATGACTGAAAATATTGATAGTAACTCTAATGATACTTTTCAATAGCTAAGTGTGAACTTTGCTTTTGAGGGTTAGAGAGACCAGGATGCTATGACTGCCTTGCATAGAAAGAAGACATATCTCTTTCCAGCGTTTATTTCCATTAAAATATGGAGCTTGAAAAGAAAAGTCCTTGTAAACTTTTAGTAACAGCCACAGAGATATTTGTTAGGTTGTCTTAAATTTCTATTAAAGCTCAAAGACAATTTTTACCCAAAGTTCCACCACCAACCTATAATCATTTTCATTTTTTAAGCTATACTCACTTTTATCCTTTCACATGAGTTTTCATTTAGTTGTAATAATAATATGCATACTCCAAATGAATGAAGTTTATTTTTGTTTGTTTGTTACAGGAAAGAAAAAAGATGGTAAAGGAAGCCCAGAGAGAGAAAAGGAAAAACAAAATCCCTAAACATGTGAAAAAAAGAAAGGAGAAGACAGCCAAAACCAAAAAAGGCAAATAGAGTGAGAGCTCTATCATGTAGTCATTTTCCTTCAGCTGCTTTCTCACCTGAACTCGGAGCTGCAGCTGGAAGATGGCTTCTTGATTTTAACCGAGCAGTTATTATGGCACCATTTGTGAAGACTGATTCGAATGTTTTTCCTGTAATTATGTAAAAAGCCCTAAGTTCTCATGTCCAGATCCAGTCACTGACACTGTCTGGTATTGACAGAGGATTTGTCTAAGCTACTATTTTAATGAAGAACTTGGTACATTTTTATTTTTATATTTTTTTCTCTTGCAAATCTGTTTTTAGAAGTATCATAAAATATTTAAATATTCCATGACCTTTATGTCAGTATAAAGGCACTTTAGACAAACTTGGGAAAATCATTTTTGCTTTCTTTATACTTGCCAAAAACATCTGAAATCATTTGGTTATAAGGCCATAGTTTATATAAAAGGGAGCTTTGCTCATAAGAAAATTCAGTTGACCGCTGATGTAATCATTCACTGCAACTCTGTTCTTGGAGAGGAGAGAGAAAGCCTGTGGAGGTGTGAGGGTTTGCAATTCAAAATAGGTTTCTTGGGTCATGCGTGGTGGTGCATACCTGTAATCCCAGAAGTTTGGGAGACTGAGGAAGGAGGATCACAAATTCAAAGCCAGCCTTGACAACATAGTAACCCTGTTTCAAAATAAAAAGGGCTGGGGATATAGCCCAATGGTAAAGTGCCCCTGGATTCATTGTCTAGTACCACATGGAAAGGGAGGGGGGTGACTTTGGGGCTGGGGTGTGTAGCTCAGAGGTAGAGCTCGTCTAGTATGTGTGAGTCCTTGAGTTTTATTCCTAGCACTAACAGAAGTGGGGACGGGTGATTTCTTAGGCCATATTATTGAGAGGTGATATTTGAACAAGTACTTAAAAGAATCTGAATCAGGTGCATGTCAGGAGAGAAAAGCATTCCAGACAAAGTGAAGATACAGGGAGAAAGTAGTAGATGAGTTCAGGTAGTGTAAGGCTATAGGAGAGTTTTGAGCAGAGGAATGGTATGATCTGACTTCTGTCTTAAAAGGATCACTCTGGCCTCTTGAAGCCAGATCAGGAAGCAAGGGTGGGAGGTGGTTGGGTATGTTTGTTGTGGTAACCCAGGTAAGAGATGCTGATGGCTTGGTCTAGGATGGTAGCAGTGGATATGGAGAGAAGGAGTTGGATATGCTAAGGGAATAGTTGAGGAGTAGGAGAGAAAGAGTGAAGGGTGACTTTGGGGTTTATGACCTAAGAAGCCACTGAGCTAATTGTAGTTGCTACTTAATTGATGGGAAGAAATGTAGGTGGAGCAAGCTTGGGATAGGAGAGAGAAAGAAAAAATCTTATATCTCAACACTGTGCAAATATTGAAATTATCAGGTTCAAAAAATTTATTTTTCCATACTTCATGTTTAAATTAAAAAGGGCTATTTTAAACATTGCTTTCAGAAACTTTCTATATAAAAGTTAGTTTCCCTTAAATCTGTACCTGTTTGTTTGATGGTGGATTATTGAGGGGAATCAATGGAGCTCTGAAAATTGAAGTCCAATTTTATTATATTCAAAATAATCCTCCCTCCCTGACCTTAAAGTTCAAAATATGAAACACAATTTCAGTGAAACAAAAAAGTAGTCCCTTTAAAATAGTCCACAGTGAACATAACAAGAAAATCCAAGAACAGTGTGAGCAACCCTGTATACATTTGGGAAGTTCATCTACATGATCTTACAGTTCTTATGATTCCAACATGGTTGTTCACATCAAGTGGGTGATTTCTTAGGCTGCCTTTTGCTCAATCTAATGTGCTTTCTCAGTGGAATTAATTCCACTTGACCAAAAGTTAATAGGATTGAGGGAGCAATTCATTGTCTTACATTGCTTTTGGGAGGAAATGGCTTATAAAACATCAAGATTTGGAAGCGCAGGGACGTTCCAACCTGAGAGCCATTTTTCTGATAACCTGTCACTGCGATGGCTGTTTCCGTTTGTGTTCTGAGCCAGAAGACTATGACTGAGTGATAAGCAGTGATACTAGTGTTGCCAAACTTGTCTGAAGATAAATTTCCCTTGTTTGTGCTCATCAGAAGGCTTGGGTATAGGAACCTAATTTGTAGGCAGACAAAACTACTGATACAGCCTACTTGTTGACTTTGATTACTATTGAATTTTGATTGCTTGGCCATTGGGTTTTGGTGTTAATGGATTGTTGGCTATACAGTAACTGTCCATTTGGAAGGATGAGGTTTGGGTCTTTGGGTGCAATGTTAAGGACATAATTTTGCCAATTGCAGATGTATCTGATTTTTTCTATCATATTTTACTAATTTCTCATTCCTCCAAATAATGCAGATGTTTTTAAAAGTTCCTACGAGAAATCTGGTTAATTTCTTTGAAGCATGAAGTCACACCACTTTCCTATGCTGCTGTCATTCTCAGTCTTCCACCAACAAAGCAGTTTGGGGACAGAACTTTGCTCAGTCTGGAGGTTCCGTCCTCTGAGTATGATCTTTGAGTGAAGGGGGATGGGGAGGAAATAGAGCAGCTTTTTGCTGAAGTCTGGTCAAGTATGATTCTGTGGTTCTTGGCTCACATCAAATTTTCTTCAGCTTTATGACTTAATGAAGATGGACTCAAGATGTTGAAAACTTTATAGTGTGGTACAAAGAGTTCTTTGAGAACTTCTCTCCTTCCATGAGTACTCTGTTTAATTCTGTACTAGGGAGATTGTTCCTTGGCCTATCCTATTTTATGGTTGTGATCTCATTAAACTTTTGGCTCAGAAAATGAAGAGATGAAATAAGAGATGCAAAACCTTGACAGGTTTTCTAATTTTCAGTTGTCTATGCACATTAATAAAGATCTTGAACAGAAGAACTTGCTTTGATTTCTGAGGTTGACGATGGAAGAGTTGTAAGGATCAGCAACAAGAGCAGGTTCTACTTGAGTGTAGCTACCTGTGAAGACTTTTTGTGGCCACATAGAAGGGATAAGTTTTCACCTATGGGGCTCATAAGCCAGAGCACTTAACTTATTCTATCCCTCAAATTGATTGGGTTATTATATTCCTGACATTTCGGCTGGAGTTTTTAATTTTTGTACTTTTTGAGTTTGTATTTCCTTGAATATGAAGGCTTCTAGAAGTGATCCAGGGGAAACTACAATGTTGGATATGAGACATTTAAGCTGGTTTCCTAAGGAAGAGATTGTTGTTAAATCTGTGCCTACAGAGATTTTAATCCCAGTTGGTGGGATTGTGGAAGGCCCTGGATTAGAATTTGGAAACCCGGGACTGCATTTGTGGATTTATTGACTTTGGTTTCCAGCTTGCTTTAATTTTCTGTGCCACTCCAAATCTTTGTGCTTTGGTTGCTGATTGGTCATGGTCATGAGACAGCCCTGTGCAAGTGAGACTAGCCACACTGCCACATAGTCCTTTTTTTTCCCTTTTTTTTTTCAGGAGGGCAAGGGGGTCTTCTGACATGAGCAGAGCTATTTCCAATTCTCTGAGATAGAGTTTCCATGTCTTTAGTGCTGCTTAAACACTGATCAGCTTTTATCTTCAGATGAACCTTTAGCCCGTGCACATTCTGCAGAGTCATCTTGGAGCCCTATAATTCAGCAGTGAAAAGTGATGGCAGGTCCTCTGGGGCCAAAACATTGTTGGAGTCTGATTGCTACAGTGCTAAGCTGGAGAAGCAAGATTGCCAGTGTTAAGCCAGAGAAGCAGGAGGTCAGAATAGGGGTTTAAGGTTGCTGTACAAAGAGAGGGTCGCCCTTGCTGGGAGTGGTCAGGAACAAGTGACTGAGGTGGAATAACAGATAAGCGCATTGAAGGCAAGAGAATCAGACACCTGGCCTGGGGTTGGAAAGGGCATCTGTGTTCTCATAGGCATGATGTGAGAGTCACTGAAAGACCCTGGGAGTCAGAGGAAGTAGGCGGGGGAGGGGCAGCATGGAAGCCTGCATTGCAGAAGGGGAGTGGCCCCTGAGGACATGACACAGGGTACTTGCTAGAGAGCCAGGGGAAAGGGAACTATCAGAAAATGCAGGGATAAAAAGCTTTTTGTTAGTGTCTGACCATGAGTTGGAAGAGGACTGTGGGGTAGTTTCAGGGATTAGAAGAATAGGAAAGGAAGTCTGTTTTTTACTTAACTTGAATTGCAGATCCTCTTAGGAGGGGTTGGGTGTATCAATTTCTCAGATCCTAATGCCATTCAGGATGCTGTAACCACTGTGGAGATAGGGGTACCTCTGTACTTAGATGTAATCAGTGGTTTGTAGGACACAGGAACAGGGTACATGTTACTAGGAGGATACAGTCAACCAAATTCAGAATAAGGGAAAGACCATAAGAAAGGTCGGTGTGTGGGCTCATGCCTGTGATTCCCAGCAACTCCGAAAACTGAGGCATGAGGATCTCAAGTTCAAGGCCAGCCTTAGCAACTTAGTGAGATCCTAAGCAACTTAGTAAAACCTTGTCTCAAAATTTTAAAAATGAGACTGATGATGTAGCTTGGTAGTATAAAGAACCCCTGGGTACAATGTCCAGTACCAAAAGAAAAAGAGGAACTATTATTTTAAAAGCTGCAGAAGGCTAAGGCACATGTATCCAAATACTATAAACTTTATTTTGATCCTGGCCAAATTATGAAAAATTGGGATGGTTTTTTAATACAAGAAGGAAAATTGAAAATGAAATAGGTATTATGACAGTAGGGAATTGTTTGTTTTGTATAATACATGATACTGTAGTTAGATTTTTTTCAATTGTCTTATTTTTTTAAATTGTGAATATCTGGAATTACTTTAAAATACTTCATCCCTCTTTCTAAAACAAAGTGGTGATAGATAACAAAATTGGTAGATCATTAACTGCTAAAGCTAAGTATGGAAGTCATTATACTATTTTCATGATTTTTGTGTATAAGAGTTCCTGTAAGAAAAAATTAATTTTAAAGAGATAAAGCATATTGAGCACTTAACAGGGATTTTGTAAGTAGTACTACATTACACAGTGTCTGTGTATTTGTTATTTCACTTTTTAACTAAACTTCTTTTGCTCTGGTATCAAGATTTAACCCCATGGGCTAGCAAGGTAGGTCAGCAGAATGGTAATGCCTTCTGGTGCTGGCCTAGCTCAATGTTAACGGTTTGTATCTTAAATGTCTCCCAAAGGCCATGTGTTGAAGGTTTGGTCCCCAGCTGATGGAGCTGTGGGGGCTGGCGCAATGCATAATGGGAGGAAGCAGGTCATTGAGGGCATGCCCTTGAAGGGGATATTGGGACCCTGGCTCCTTCCTCTGTTTCTTTGCTTCCTGGCAACCATAAGGTGAATGACTTGGCCTTGCCATGTGCTCCCCACAGACCCCAAAATAACAGAGCCAATCGACCCTGGACTGAACCTCTGAAACTGAACCAAAGTAAACATTTCCTTGCCTCCAGTACTAAGGATTAACCCAAGCAGGTAGGCAGGCGCTCAACCAGTGAGCTACACCCCAGCCCTAACATTGCCTCTTTTTAAGTTTTTTTATCTCAAGCGTCTTGTCACAGGGACAAGAAGCTTACTAATAATGCCCTTTGGGTTCAAAAATTCAAATCACACAGTGGATGAAGTTGAACAAATGCTGATAGATGCCAAATCTGATCTTCATTTTAAAATACAATGTTACCTTCTTGGTGAGACTTATTCTACCCATTCCATTTGAAATTGCAGTCTGCTCACTTCCAGAGGGCCCCCATTTACTTATTTATTTTTTGGTAGCAGGAATTGAACTCAGGCGTGCTTTACCATTAAGCCACATCCCCAACCCTTTTTTTATACTTTGAGACAGAGTCTTACTGAGTTGCCAAAGCTGGCTTTGAATTCTCCATCCTCCTGCCTCAGCCTCCAGGCTACTGGGAATACAGGCGTGCTTCACTGCACCTGTCCCCACTTGGCTTATTATACTTTCACTACATTACTTTTCTGTAGCTCTAACAGAAATTTAACATTGAATTTACTTATGTATATTGTATATCTTCCGTCCGCTTCTAACCTCTGACCAGAATGTAAGCTCCGTAGGGCAGGGATTGTTGTCTTTGGCCTGATTTGTATCCCAGCACCAAGATTGGTGCCTGAAACATAATAAACTCTCAGAGATATTTAAGTGAATAATACGTGTGTGTTTCCTGAGTAAACACGAGTCTTGAGTCAATTGAATGCACCACTGTTGTTCATCAAAATGAAAACTAGGTGATATGGGTTGGTTTGCACCCTTTAGCCTACCCCATGACCAGTGGTGCATGTTTTCAGATGCCCAGCTTGAGTTGGTGGGGTCACCGAGCCTGCCGCGCATTAGAACCCTTGGCATGGATGGAATCAAAGCCAATGAAACTGATGTATCTTCAACAGTTGGAAGTAACAATCATTTCCATTTTGACTTTGTAAAACCATTTGAATATCATCCAAACAATCAGAAAAATGAGCTTACTAATGAATTATTCAATCCCGAAGTACCACAATGAAGAGAAAATGAGAAAGTTTTAAAAAAATATTTGCACATTTTGCTCTTACCAATGTTAGACTTTGGTTGTTTGGGACAGGGTCTTGAACTCCTGGGCTCAAGTGATCTCTTGGATTTAGCCTCTCAAATAGCTGGGACTTTGGGCTTGTGCCACTGCAACTGGCTAGAGTAACAATTTTAAAAATGTGTGATTTCGAGAGATGTTCCTGAGTTTAAGCAAGACCTCTGCTTACCTTAAAAGCTGACAAACTCTTACAGTGACACCTGTGATGCTCCTTTTCTTCAACAGGGTATAGAACAGTAGCCCATGCCCAGGGGGTTGGTGTGGCAGGTATTTAGAGCAGCCCAACCCAGCTTTTCCTTAAGTGATAACAGTACTTGGCAGTAATGTTGGCTGGCTGTCTCAGGCCACTTCAGCATGTAAACATTGTCCAGGCTTACTGAGGGCAACTTGTCCAAGTCCTTCTCAGCTGTTGCTGGTAAACTGCTGGGAGCCTGGGTAAGCCATTTTATTCCTCTGTAAATTGAAGGAATTGGTCCAATGTCTTCTTTAATATTCTCTTATTTAGAACTGGGGAATACAACTCAGTAGTAGAGCACTTGCCTAGCATGCACAGGCCTTGGGGTCAATCCACTACCACAATCAATTAATCAGTAGATATAAGATTCATACTTAAAAAAAAGACCTTTATTATTACCTTTTTTTTTTTTTTTTTTTTTTGAGTGTCTCACTAAGTCTCCTAGAAAAGTCTGGAACTCATAATCTATCTTTCCTCAGCCTCCTGAATTACAGGAGGCTCCTCTTGGATTACAGGCATGTGCCACTCTGCCTGGCTGGGGATTGAACCCAGGAGCTAGGCAAGCAGTCTGCCACTGATCTACAACCTCATCCTCCCCTACTTTAAGTGAACCCAGGGGCTCTTTATGTCCTCAACCCTTTTTATTTTTCATTTTGAGACAGGGTCTCTCTAAATTGCCCGGGCTGGCAAACCTCCTGCCCCAGCCTTCCTCTCAAGTAGCTGGGATTTATGGTATGCACCACCATGCCCAGCCAGATTATATCTTTTAAAAGAGATTGTTTATTAAAAGTAAAATAAAGGGCTGGAGATGTAGCTCAGTTGGTAGAGTGTTTGCCTTGTATGCACAAGGCCCTGGGTTCAATCCCTAGCATCACAATCAATCAATCAATCAATAAATAAAATGGCTGGGTGTGGTGTTACATGTCTATAATCCCAGCTACTTGGGAGACTGAGGCAGGAGGATCACAAGTTCAAGACCAGCCTCAGCAATTTAGCAAGGCACTAAAATAAAAATTTTAAAAGGGCTAGGGTGTAGTTCAGTGGTAAAGCACTTGCTCAGCATGTGCAAGTCCCTGGCATCAGTATCTAGTACCAAAATGAATAAATTAAGTAGGTTTAAGGTGCCAGTTATCACAGAAGTCAGGTTTGCTTTTTATATGAATCATAATCTCATCAGGCAAAATTTACTGTGTCCTGTTTTAATTTGGGGCTAGGAATACCTGTCACTGTCCAATAACTTTTGCTCCTCTAGAGGGAGATATGCCACTGAGTTCTGATTATTGACAAGCCTTCCAGGAGCCTGCCTGGCAGGACTCCTCTGGTTAGAAAGGGGACCCTGATGACAGTGGGCACTTGTTTGATTGTTGGTTTTTAGATTAATCCTCACCAGAGAGCTCTTTAAGGAAGCAACTTCTCAACATACATTTTCCAGAAGTTGTACCTCATTTAAGCAAGAGGTGTTTAAAATAATACATACACTTTTACTAAAGTAAAACACTACACTAAAAGTAAGCTTTGCAAGGGACATAGACTAAGTGTCTGGCATGCTCTAAACTTGCAGAGATTCACTTCATCTTTCTGAGTCTCGGTTTCTTCATCTATAAGTGAAGATGTTGAACTAATGTATAAAGTCTCTGATAGTCCAGAGCAGCACTCTTCAGGGTAGTGGCTACTAGCCACGTCACTTTATTTTAGCTTACAAAAAAAAAAAAAAAAAGAAGAAAAAGGAAAAATTTCACTTCATTTTAAATAAGTTCCTGTTTTTTTGTTTGTTTGTTTTTTTGTTTTGAGCTCTGGGGTTTGATCAGAGGTGTGATTTACCACTGAGCTACATTCCTAAGCCCTTTTTATTTTGAGATAGGGTCTCACTGAGTTGTCCAGGCTGGCCTCAAACTTTTGATCCTCCTGCCTCAGTCTCTCAAGTAGATGGGATTACCAGTGTACACCATGGCTAGATTTGAGTTAGGAAAACCTGAATTCTTGTCTAGGATCTGCTATTCCTGTTTATTTTTTTATAATGTATAACCTGCCTTTTTAGAATTTTTAAATGGTTTTCATTAAGCAACATATTCAAAGCTACCAATAAAAAGATCAAAGCTGTTTAGAGGACGGGAGGAATTACTATATAGCAAAACCCTTGGAGGCTGGTACATTAGTTGCCTGGCTTGGTTTCCTGAGCTGGTAGGCAGAGGGCCGGTGAGCTGGGGAAGTCGTTTGACACTGCCTACCTAGCCTTTGCTCACCTTCATAATGAGGAGGTTTGGCCAGGTGATTGGTAAGGCCTCCTCCAGTATTGACTAGTTGGATGAGCATTGGCCAACTGAACCCACTGAACTTACTCTTTTATCTGGAATGAGGAGCAAATGTCAAATGTGATGTCAGAGAAAGTTCAAAGCTCAGCACATATAAAGTACTTAATTTGGACAGCACAGGGGCACACGTCTGGAATTCCAGGGACTCCAGAGGCCAAGGCAGAAGTATCACAAGTTCGAGGCCAGCCTCAGCAATTTAGTGAGACCCTAAACAACTTAGCAAGACCCTGCCTCAAAAATGAAAAATAATAACAATAACGAAAATTTTTAAAAAGTGCTGGAGATGTAGCTTAGTGAGTGATAAAGTGTCACTAGGTTCAGTACCAAAAAAAATTATGTTAGCTTTTCCAAATAATTCTAGGACTCTAATACAATTTCATTTGCTATGTCACTTTATTGCTGTTACCCTCTTCCAAAATGAGTGTTCCTTAATTAACGAGATTTGGAATTTGAAAACAGCACCCCTGATCAACTTGGTTTTGTTTGTTTTTTGGCAAGTGCTGGGGTTTGAACTCGGGGTGTTGTACATGCAAGGTAAGCACTCTACCAACTGATCTATATCCCCAGCACCCCCAACATGCTATTAAGTGTGGGAGACCAACCTCGCACGCACTAAGTTAACTCCCCTGCTGGGCCATGTGGCATCAGGCACCCATGCTGCTAGCCTGCCCCGCTCTTCTAGCACCCAGGCTTCTCTTCCTTACAGCCCATGGGTGGAGTTATGCTCACCTGTTCCTTTGTAGTATAACCCCTTGCCCTGTTTAGGATAGAATCTTCCATGGAAGTGCCTTGTGTCTGTCCCCTTCTCTTACTGTGCCCTTGGGTGTGGCCTACCCAGATGTCAGTCAACCTGCTGACAGTGGACATCATGAAGACAGACTCAGCCCCCTGAAACCTGACCCCTTGCCTCATTTGAATAGCTTCTCCTCAATAAAAGCTCGTGCTCTCTCTGTCTTCCTGCGGACCCTTAAGATCAGAGGAGCCGTCACAGCGACCCCAAAGAAAAAGGTACTTGTGTCTCTTGTGTGGTTATTTTGCGCAGCCCAGTCAGCCCAGTTCAACTGGAGTGACCCCTGAGCCCTTTAGTCTGGAGAACAGAGATCCTGCAATTAAGTCTCCAAGCACGGTGCTTGGAGAAAGAAGAGACAGAAATGACCTTTACTTCAACACTCTGCTGATGGGAAGAGTTGTCAAGAACAAGTGAAGGCCTTCATTTCAATTGGAGATAAATTCACACTAAATTGTCAATGGCTCATTTCTGTTGATCAGATCTTGACCTGGGCCGGGCAGCTGGGAGCCCGGAAGGGTGCGGTGGGAAGTGAGGAGAGAAGCTTGGAGAGGGGAGGGTGGGGAGGTCCACAGCCAAACTTACTGACTGCTCGGTTTTCTTTGGGACCAGCCCAGCCCTGGGCTGGCCCATGACAGCAGGAGGAGCTGGCTGGTGTTCAGAGCCATCTTCTTAGGAAGCCACTCCCTGTTTTGGGCACAGGTCTACCACATTGCTGCTTGCAGGCTCTGGTGGATCTGGAACGGGGAGCTCGAGGCCCAGTTTACCAATTAGGTGATGGGTGCACGCTCATCCAGAGGGCGTGACCACGGGGCAGAACCTGTGACGTCAGTCAAGCGTTTGACTCCTCCCCACCTTGAGACCCCAGTGTTCCTCTGCTATGGAAGCCAAGTCGTAGGATTCTAAAGGAGAGCCAGAGATTTGTGTTGTTGTTGTTATTACTTTTCTTGAATATTTATATTTGGTTCTGTTTGGTTTGGGTTTGTGGCAGCCTTTTGGAGCATCTAGTTACCTGCCTTTGTGTAAAGTAAAATAGGAGCTCCTCCTTCTGTTGGAAAACCCAGGGTGTAGCAGCCCACATCCACAATCTCAGACACTCAGGAGGCTGAGGCATGAGGATCGTGACTTTGAGGCCAACCTGGGCAACTTAGTGAGACATTGTCCACCCCTGCCCCCGCCCCCCCCCCAAAAAAAGACCAGGATATCAGTGGTAGAGCACCCCCATGTTCAATCCCCAGTACTGGAAACGCAAA